TCTACACGGGATCAATAATTATATCTGCTTGCACAAATGTAATGCACACATATCGCGTGCGTGTGTGATTTCTCGGGTGTTTAATGTTTTCCATGAAAATAAAACATTATATAGTAGTAATATTAGAAAATAATTTTATTTATATAACTCTTTTTCTGCGATTCTGAAATTATCTATTTCTTTTTCTTGTTACCTATCCCGAATCTAATATTCTTTTTTAATTATAACTTCATTTTTTAGTGCATTTCTTTTATTATTATCTCTTATATCCCAATATACGTGCACTCCTTTTGAATTATTCTCTATATTGAAACCATATATAATTCTATCTATAATACTGCAATTATACATTAGCATTACATTGAAGTCACGAAATACACATCTGCATCTAAAAAATTACACCTATTTATATGTTCCTTCCTTTCAGGGCGTGAAAAAGAGGGTGCGACTCCAGAAGACTAAGTTTAAAAATGGAGTTTAGTGATGGATTTAAAACAACTGGTACAATACGCCGTTAACATCGTTCCACTTTAATCGAAGGCTCTCCTTGAAAATCGAGAGCCATTATCGTTCAATTAGATTCGCGATACTCGAAGGCGAGACGATGAAATTCGATTGCGCGTCGTTATTGACATTTCACGTCGCATGTACGTAACTAATTTATGATGAAGTAAAATCGGGAAAAGCAATTCGCGGTCTCGAGAAACAAGAAACAAGGGGGATGGCGATGATGGCGTCTCTCTGACTCACCCTCGCCATCCGGAGAATTATAGGCGTCGAGTGTTCACCTTCTCGTAAAAATTCGATGATTCTTCTCTATGGATAAGTCCTGAGGAACACGTTTATTATTACGACAAACGTTAAACGCGAGCGTTAATTGCTCTCTCCCGGGAATAGAATAATGCTGGGGCGTCAATGCGTTTACTTCAGACACGAAAAGGATTTTTTCGTGATATAAATAGATCATCTTGGACATTTGTCTCACTGTAGTTTTCTAATTTTTTAAACGGGCATCGAGCTCACATGTGGTTACAGATATCGCGAGTATCGCGGTTTTATCGCATTTCTAGACATGCGAGAAGCCGCAAGAAACGTGACTTTACGAGCGTAACTTTTCTCAGCTTTATTCTCGCGATTATTGTACGAACGTCTTCTCATTGCAATCAATAACTCTTTCTCTCTTGCTTGTTTTAAGGAGATACTTAAGAAAGACGGATGACTGCGGAAAATCATTAATTGCGTAATTCTTTTTTTGTTACGTGTGAGGCTCGTGTTATTTTAAATTTTTCTCATAAATAAATTTACAAAAAAAATGTATGAAAAAACCTATAATCTATTTCATGATGGCGATGTTAATTTGTGATTATGTGACATTTTTACGATAGCGAGAATATAGAAGATCAGTGACCTTTTCGGCTCTTTGATCTGCGTCGTAAATTTCAATTAAAACTCGGTTCAAAGACATTTAGTTGTCGAAACTGCAAAATAAAAGATTCGTTTAATTTTTGTTTAATTTGAACCTTTAATATTTAGCTTCTCTCTCTCTTTCTATCTTTGTCACACACACACACAATTGTACAATTTGAATGCGGCTAACAGCAGTTGATGGAGCCTGATAGCTTTTTAAAAGTATCTAAATTTAAGAAGTGGCACCACACCCTTCTCCTTCAATACGACGCGTGGCCTGTCTGTCATCTGTGCTTCCTTGTAACGCGGCGATGCGAACGTTGAAATTGGAAGACAGCAAAAGCAATAGAGCGTAGCACAGGAGGATCCGTGTTAAGCAGAACGAACGACAGAGAGAGACGAAAGGCGACATGCGAAAAAATACTCTCTTGGCACTCAGCTTCGGCAGAGAACGAGATAAATAGCGTGCGTGGGTGCAGCCCGACGATGTCTACGGGCCACACGCCACGTTTCAAGCGGATCGAATGAGCGAACCACGTGAATCTGCGAGGGGGACGACACGGGAACGCGAAAGAGATCGAGAAAGAAAAAACGTAAGAGAGCGGAAGAGGGAGGAGGGAAACACGCCGGTGTGTTACCGAGACGAGGAGAGTTCTTACTCACGTTTTAAGTGCACCGACGACGTTTTAATGGCGCATCAGGTAGGAGTAATGCGCGTCGTCCTTGCGGGATTACTCCGCAGTCCCCTTTGATTGTCGTCTCGCGAGGATATTTATGCGTTGTTGGGATAAATAGAAGAGAGCGCGCGACGAACGGGGAGTGGCAGATGCAGGGGGCATAATTAACGATCGAACCGCGGGGGTGCATAAAGGTCCCGCATGAGTGATATGCATGTGGCTCTCGAAAAATCTCATCTGATTAACGAAGTTGACTATGGCTCAGCTTCGAGCTCTAACGAGCTACTGTGGCAGCTCTTTGACACGATACATTTTTTTTTTTTTTTAATTAGACAATTATCTCGATTTTTTCTCGCCTTTCACCAATTTTTAACTAACAAAATAGAGAAAATGATAAATGAATCGTTCGTTATTCGTTTAATATTCTTAGTAACTTCAATAGAAGAAAGAAGAAAAAATTTAGATTTATGATAACTTTTCATATATTATGAAAAGTGAAAAAAAAAGTAAATCATATCTTAGTGTAAATCACATAATGATTAAATGGCTTATTAATGTATGCATTTCGATCTTGTCTGAAGTTAATCCGCGTTATCAACTTGTGAATTGCCAATTATAAATCATTACAGAGCGCAAATCACTTCGGTACATTGCCAGAGCGCGAGATGCCGAGACCGAGCGCATATCTCATGATTTATACGACGTCGCGTCATTACGCTCACGGGTGGCGAATTACGGACTAACTATAATTTATAGCCAATAAATATGGCGCAATGTTGTGCGCGAGCGAGGCTACCGTCATATTCGATGACCGCGACACAATCGATTTAACAATCGAATAGAATAACGATTTATATCAATCTTTGCGGAAAGTACAAAAGAGATATTTCCATCTCTGTCTTCTTAATAGATATCGCAGATGCACTTTCTAGATGGTATATGTAAGGATATATTTACGTAGTTACGTGTGTTATTATTATATTGATTTCTTTTTAATACCTTGTTATTTTAATGTTTCCATTATTCTACGTATAATTAATAACCCTGTCCATTTATTATAAAAGCAAGTAAAAAGTTGACGTAAAATTGACGTAACTTTCAATCAATAAGGAAATGATAACGTCAATTATATAATTGTTTCTGCCTAATAATTGCGTTACAGGGATTTAATCATTCAAGGATCAGTGGTGTCCCTTTTTTGAATACATTCTGCGTGTGCAAATGATTTAATTCTCGTCTCTCTGCATCGTTGAGTGAAAGAGGAAATTCAGAGATACCCGAATCACATGACAGCATCACACATACAATTAAATTTTGATGCAATGCGTCATGCGCTCATTTATTCGTCTCAACGCCAAAATGAACAAAGCATTCTCAGACATGGAGTAAAAAGATATTATTTCCATTAATTTCTGTTATATTTCTGCATCATTACAATTCTTATGCACGCGCGAAAATGATTTACTCTAATAAAATGCCGAATAAAAACAGAATTATTTCCTCCGATTAACAGTTAGATCTCCAGCATGGTTTATTCTGATATGCATAATAATAAGACTCTCACGGGGGAGAAACGGATGAATCTCGGGAATCCGCCCTACCGGTGCTTTAATAATACACGTGTCTGCGCGTGAACACGTTGCAGGCGCACGACACAGCACGGGGCACGCGATGAATATTTGTCTTATTTTTTCGATAAAAGGGCGTCCTGTTTATTCGTCGCATTTCAGACGAGCCGATCTCGGGCTCCTTTGTAATATCCAACGCGAGGTGCCGCCGGGGTGATCGTATCGCCATAGATTTTTATGGAAATCAAGACGCATATATATGAGTTACTTGTCGATCGCGAGGACGATCGATCTTGTCAGATAAATTCGTGACCGTTCGTCTCGTTCGGTCGCGCGAAACATATGTATATAAACGATTCCGGATCGATTCATACGCCAGTTCGGCGAGTCGGATGTTGGCAGAAATCGGCTTTAAAGATTACTCCCACGTTGGGGAATCTCTAAAAAAAATCGAACAGGCGACACACCCAACCGGCTAATGCGGGAATAATGTCCGATAGTAGCAGCAAAAAAATATATGCTCATGGCTCATCGGAGTTTGGCAAAGAACGGAAATAATACTTATAGTTTTTTTTATGGAATCTCTCTTTCCATAGTGTACAACTGGATGCTATTAGAAGAAAGTCGAAAGTCTTTCATCATCGATTCTTTAAGAGAAAAATACGGTTTATTATGCGAAAGATGAAAAAGAAGAAAAATAGAGAAAGCGAATATTCATCTTGAATTGATTCGACTAATACCAGTAGAAACTTTCTCTTTCTGAATTGCTAAACAGGAAGAGATCTATTTATGCATATAGTAGCGGAGTAAAATAAATAAATACAAAACTCAAGGAAGCGAATGTTCATTCTGAATTTTCAAAAGTCGAATATGACATCAAATGAATTGCTCATTGAAAAGCTATTCATTAAATATTTGATAAAGGTCAAAGTCTCAATGAAATTGCAATTCTAATTCGTATTTTATTCTAATAATTTAATTTTGAAAAAAATACTGTGGTTTTTCTGACCTTTATTCTCCTTAATGCCATTAACAAACTTTCTCGTATAAAAGACATGTATCTAACGAGGGTGCAAAAATGGTCGAATCCGATCTATCTTATACTAAGGCCCGGTTCCACAACTCGAATTAATCCGAGTTTAATACGTTAAACTGGGTCCTGATTGGTCCATTCACTACTTAAACTCGGATTAACTGGATTGTGGAACTGGGCCTAAGAGTGCTACCGAAAAACTTCCCTCAAATGAAAGACTCTCCGACATGTTTCATTCTCTCGTTTCTCTACATTTATATATCCCGTACACTTAACAGGATCGACGAGGATCTATCGCGTTGTATCGTTTCATACCTGGTGAGACGGCAAGCGCGAGGAAGGCAGCTGCGGCAGCGACGAAGAGTATCCTGAGCGCGTTTCCCGATCCGCGTCGTCTTCTGCCCGGCCTCCTCTGCACGGCGCGACAGTAGCAGGAATCGTCATTGCGATACACCCTCGTCGTGGAGTCGGACGGTCGGCGGGGTTGCACGTCGAGAACGATGTAGGCCTCTTCCTCCTCGTCCTCCTCCTCCTCCTCCTCCTCCTCCTCTCCGTAGGGCCCTTCCTCGCCGTCGGCGTCCTCGGGCAGGTCGGCGGCCGCCGTTGCGCGTCGTCGACGCGGCGATCTTGCCCGGCGCGAGTCGCCGGCACTGCGGTTGCCGCCGCCGCTGCCGGCACGGTCGATCGCCGGCTCGCCTCGATACATGGCCTGCGGATGCAGCAACGACGACGGTGGCCAGCAACGTGCCACCGGGGTCGGCTGCGCTCGTCAACGTATCCTACCCGCGGTGGCCGCGACTACACCCACGCCAGTACTACCTGCGGCGGCCCGGTCCCTCACCCCGCCTGCGACACCGTGCGACCTGGCGACACGATCGCTGCTGCGAGGCATTACCGCGACCTGGGCCGTCCGAGCCGAGCCACCACCAGCCCCACTAGGCACACTAGGCACCAACCAACCGATCAACCACTGACTACTTCCTTCGGTCTCTCCGCAGTGGTTGCTTCCTCCGCGATCTCTCCGCTCTTCCTATCGCAACCTGGTCACTAGTCCGTATCCCGTCGGCCGATGGGACGGTTCGGATTGTCTGGGAGTACTTTTCGCGAAATGATGGTTACTTCGATATAGTCCGTTTCGCGAGGACGCGCTCCGTTTCGTTCGACGTCAGGACGACGACCCTTGACGACGCGCCGCTGCTCTTTTCACGTGACACGCGTCGCGGAGGGTCGCGTAGTATATCGCGATGCGCGTGATGACGGTGAAGGCCTCCGAGGAATCCGCGTATTATATCCGCGGCGTCGGAGGGAAAAAGAAGCCCTCTAAGCGAAAGCGCGCGTCGTGTATTAGCGATGATACGCGGAAAGAAAGAAGGGTTCGATTGTCTCTGTCCTTGTCTCTTTCTACACCCTCTCTTCCTATCTTTCGACCCTTCTTTTATCCCCTTGCCTTCTCTATACGAGGCTCGACGACCACCTTTGCTCGCACGACGGGGAACGACCACCAAGCGCCATCGAACACCTTCTTTCGCCACTCTTTCTGTCGAAAAACCAATGATCGACTACCGCAGTTCGTGCGTCGTCCAGCGCGCCCGGACACTACCACCGTCCGGTAGGAAGTGTCGGCTGCCACGAGGTGGACATCTCTGCGAGGTCTTGCCAGCGGTAGCGGTGGTGGTGGTGGCGGTGGTGGCGGCGGCGGCGGCGGCAATAGCGGCGGTAGCAGTACCGGTGGTAGTGGTAGCACCGTAAAGGCGGTAGTAGCGGCGATGGCAGCTGCAGCTGATGGTGCACCGATGCATCGAGCAACTGCGCTTCGCTCGTGCACGGTGGTCCCGAGTTGAATTTATTCGGACAGCGAACACGGGCAATCGGTAGTCTAGCAGTCGTCTAGCAATCGTCTACCCGATATAAGAGGGTTCCTTCCCTTTCTCGCATCAAATTAAAATATAGTTTGCGCTCGCGACCCTTCCACGACGGCCTAGATAGATAATCCAACCCCTTCGGCTAGAGTCTCTCTTCGCGTAGAGGTCCGTTCTCTCCGTCTCTATCTATCTCCCTCCTCACGTTATAGTTATAGCTCGGGTCCTCTGTCGCAGAAGAGCAGACCGATCCGTCACCGCGAACTCTCGCTCGCGCACTGCCGTGGCTCTTTCGCTCCACTGACTGGGGGATAACGCGCCGGCTGCCAGCAGGCCAGGCAGTGGCGAAGCTCTCTAGTACACGGCCAGCTACTAAGCAGCACCACGCACGACGGGCAGCCTCACGACTGCCCTCGACTGTCGTAAGTGTGTGTCTGCTGCTCGCCCGCCCGTGTCGTGTCGGCTCGGCTCGGCGCGGCGCGACGCGGCGCGACCTCGCGCGCAGGCGGCGTCGGCGTCGGCGTCGGCATCGGCGTCGGCGTGCGTCGAGCGGAACGGCGACGACGCCGTTAGTCGGCGTAGCTGCGAGCGAGCGGACGCCGGCTAAGGCAGAGACGGCGCGGGCGGCTCTCTCTCTCTCTCTCTCTCTCTCTCTCTCTCTCTCTCTCTCTGGGACCAACGACGTCGGTGGTGGAGGCGGCGGCGGCAGCAGCGCCGCCGCGACGACGACGTCGCGATGGTCCCGCGGAGGAGCGCCCCGTCGATGCCATCGGCCTGGCCGAAATCGATGCCCCGCAACGCGGCGTCTGAAACGCGGCACCCCCGTCGACCTGTGCCACACACCACGGCTGACACACACGCCTTACCCCCGACGCGGATATACCGGGTGTCCCATTTTGCCTCGGGGCGCTCCTTGATTCGTTACAAGGATACCGCGCTTCTTTACTTTTGTTCAGCTTCGTTGTAATTTAAAGTATCTTCTTACATGTGTGCGATATATTAAAGGGGAATTCTGAATGCATCGGAAATTTAAAAATGCATGGAATATAGCTTGAATAAAATACACCCCAATCGTATCATTTAAAGTAATTTAGATAGAAATCGAAAATAAAGTAGATTGAGATTAATGTTCTAATGTTCGCTTTTTAGAACTAAAAGCGCGACATATCTTGTATGCACACAACCCTGCGCACGAAAGATCATAAATACTGTTCCGTCAATGTATACTAAACAAATATAAATATATGTACATTTATATCCACGTGCAAATTTGATCACGTGTATATGTATGTTAGTATTATACAGGCATGCGGCAATGCTGTGTACGCTGTCAAACACCGAGAGATGTAGACATAAATAAGTAATCGAACTCGAAGGCATGTACAAATATATAGATATGTTGAAAGTGTTGAACAGGAGAGAAAGAGAGAGACGTGCCCGAAAGAGACGAGGTCTTGCGGGACGAATTTCCTTTGATTTATCAGTTGCCTTTTAGTTCCTTAAAATATGCATTGGCTCATTCTATATATTACTCGAGCATATTACTCGAAAGAAATATAGAATCAACTCTATACTTCTCAAATTGAAAAGGCAGCTGTAAATAGATGTAAAAGGAATGTATGCAAATCATTTTTTTTCTTAAATTATAGATTCTTGAACGAATTTAGGATCAGCTTGTATGTATATGCCTTTCGATACACATTTAGAGATAAATAACAAACGATCCCTTATTTTTTCTTTTCTAAAACAAATAATACACGCGTATGCGGGTAATAAATAATATATGCCGATTAGTAATATTTATCGAGTCCTGTTTGTGAACAAGGTATTCTTTCATTTTTATCACATCACATGAATATGCATATAGGTAGATACCTTGATAGGATTTTCTGAAACTATAGCAACCTTGCACGAGTATAATAAAATGCCAAGTGGAGAACAAAATGCAACTGCATTTTGACACGATTGCATGTGCTACTACGATGAATCTATATATATATATATATATATATATATATATATATATATATATATATCTGTATAAGACTATTTGTATATTAATTTTCTCACAAATAATTTATATTTTTATAATAGTTTTTCAATTAATCCATTCAATTAATCCTTTTATAATATAAGTATAATTTTTTGTTCTATGCATTTTTTTACTTCACAATAATATTGCAAATTTTTACATATGTACATTATTTCATATATATATATATATAGTTAAAAATCATAAAGTTATTATCTGTATCTGACAACTATAATCTTACTTGAAGATTTTTTCAATTCGACTATAATTTCTTTTTATTATTTCACGTATTTTTGGCAACGTTCATGCCGTATAAAAACTACTGCTTGCAAAGTGCTTTTGAATTAACAAGAATTTCATCTTTAACTGAGAATTCTTGTGTATGTGATTGCGTGAAACATTGCCAGCAAGCATACCACATTTGTGATAAATTTTACATTTTCCTCTGACTTGCATTTCGTAATAAGAATAAATTAGAGAATAATCTGATTTATAATTTAACTAAGTGGTGTACTTAATCACAAACAAGATAAAATAATTTTTGTAACTGTTGATTCATGTATATTTGTGAAAAAAGAAAGTTTTTTTATAGCTTCTATTTATATCTTATCGGCGTATTATATTCTTCCATAAATTCCGATTCTCTTAAGAGAATGAATAATTTGATGTTGAACGGTTACAAAAATGTCAAACAATATCTTGATAGTTAAACAAAAAAGAATACTCCGACATATTACACAAATTATTATCAATTATTATCACTATTCGCAGTTGCATTTCCCGATTAAAATCGGGCTTCCAAAATTCACATGGGACCACCGTCATGCCGGCAAGAGTCAATAGACTCCTCCATTGCGGCAGATGTGCGTATCGATTTCAAGTCGATTCGCGCGTGTCCCCGAACAAACGCGATGTCGCGCGCCTTGCTCTTTGAGACGCCGGCGGTTCCTCGTTACATTGCGTACCCTGCCTTCGTGCTGCTTCATTCACGCACCACGTTGCGGCTGCGTCGGCGGCATCGTCGTCGACCAGCAGGCACACGCAGCGCGAAGCAGGGGGTTTCGCAGGGGGAGCACCTGGAGGGTAATCCACCGCGTGGCCGGCATCACCCTCGCCAGGTGGCTGCAACTTGTTGTTGCGGGACCCCGCGGACCTATGTGTAGGCCTTCTCCCTCGTTTATGCTTCCCTTCTCGTTCTCCCTTTTGCAGTTGATTGATCTCCGTATAGAGATGCACTTATGGATCAACATTTCCATTTTCGCGAAGTAGCGAAGAGATCGCAAATTCCCATTTTCAAACGGAAAATTGGTTTTTGCAGGAGGGAAAGCAGAGAGGAGCGGTGTAGAAACAGATGCGAGATGGACTACGATTGTGATGGACTGTTGCGGCAAATACTACATTGCATCGCAGCAAACGTGAAATTACACACATTATAGTGAAATTTTTCTCCATTTTATTTCTTACTTTTGATGTTTTATACATGTATGTTTTTTTTTTAAATAAAATAAAAAAATAATCGTTCTTACATTCGATAATTAATGTCCCATCGTACTTCCGCCTTTCCAACGAAAAGGTTTTAATTTAATTTGGCTTCTCTCTTTGCTAACATTTTTCTATAAATGATTTTGCATCGTATTTTAAATCATCGCAAAAATAAATAAAGATAAATCGTTGCGATTAAGGACGGAAAACTCGAAGAAGGACAGCTGCTTTCACGCATCATTTATGATACCGTTACTCCGAAATTTCTTCTCGGAGTACGACGAGGACCGCACTGTTGTTCGCGTTGAAAGAAACGCGTGAATTTTCGTGTCACGCGAGCAATCTTCTCAAAAGAAATGTTTTTAGTGGATACTCTTAGAAAGACACGCGTCACAATGTCTATCATTCCTTTCTTTCAACTTTTACAGCCGTCGACTTTTCGGGTGCTAGTAAGAAACGCGTTTCTTGTAATATAAGACTAGATATCTCACCTTTTCATCCCTTTCGAAATCTAAAATGTTTACATATATATCTGATAATCTGTTCATTTCATGCAATTGTTAACTGTGCAATGTAACTCACGAATATTTGAGCTAATAATTGCTGCATTATCCAAGAAAGTACGTTCAATTATCGTGTTTTGTCGCGATTCGCGTGTACCCGCATTGTTATCATTGTCGTGTGATAGTGAGACTACATAAATTTCCTGTTTTTATCGTAAAAAAGATACACATGTTAATGATGTATGACAATAATGAATATCCAAATAGAGCAATATATTTGAAACAGGATATCATTTATTTGCAATTAATTCAACAATCCGAAATGTCTCGATAAAACTTATAGCTTCTTTGTATTATTAATTAAGTAATAACTAATAAATTTTCTTTCGATAGACTTCCTCTCAAAACTTTCAGAGAAAATGAAGCGATTGACGAGATTCATCGGATATCGATGGAACACGAAGAAGAGGTCGCGATGTCAAATCACGCGAATACATCTTTTGTAGAATATTCGTGAACAATTTAATATCTGCGAAACAATTCAATATGTGTGAACGAGTCAGATTCCGGCATCATTTTTTGAAATGGATCATATTTTAATCCGGAGACTGGGAAGCATTCCGATCATCCTTTTAGAGACAATCACGAGAGAGACGGAGAATTATGCGTCGGGGGTTACTGATACATAAGTGGGACACTCGCGAAAGGGGTTAGTTCCCTCTCCTACGCACTGTAACAATGGCAAAACTTGAAACGACATCGTCGTCGGACTTGGCTTCCGGCCATTTCCCGGCTATCGATCCGTAAAGCGTTACGGCAAAGCTGTTCCACGTGCAATTATTAGGTGTATCGTGTATATAACACTCCTACTTGCTTCATATACCACGAACCGGAAGATACATCACCCTTGCTTCGCAAAGACGCTTCGCGAGATTTATGTGTAGCCTGTATAAGTGGATTGGTTACGTAACTGATTACGCTAACTACGCTCGTCGACGCCGACGCGTTTAAACTACTCGTTAAATCGATAGTCGATCGTATTCACAATATTTTCTGACGAGTAGCATTGCAAATTAATTAACTAATTCGATCAATGATATTCTAAAATTGCTCTTGAGCATTTCATGATCTTCCCATTTATGCACAATAGCATGATGTTAAAATATTATGTAATCTCTATATTGACATTAATAAATATTACATTAATATATCTTTGTACAACTGTGCATGGAAAAGAAATATCGGGCTATTCTTAGCGCGAGATAAATCGGTGTGAACGACTCCAGGTGCATGTACCGAGGAAACCCCTCGCAAACCCGTAGCCGGTGAACAGTCAAACACACAGATAGGTATACGACCGGAATCGACCCTAATGCGAGCACAAACGTAAACTAATAGCGCCGCTGCAATAACGAAATTGCACGTGACACGTGAAATTTGCAGTTACGTTCTCTTCGCGATCTCCATCCATCGACCCAGAAATCTTTTCAACAACGCAAACAACGTCAATGTCGCTCTCTTCTCTCACCATCGGAAACGGTTTTCGTGTTGGTCGTTTGGTATTAGAGCGAGACCACGAAGAGGCAGATTTGTATAACTCTCATCATCATAATGCATTTCGGTCAGGTCAGGTGTAAGGAACGGTCCGTGAGAGTCCGCCCTACATGAGTACGACGCAAGCATACGTTTCCACGTATGCGTGGAATCGATAACTGGGAATTAGTCTGCCTGGCTGTCTCCCAGAACTAAATGCGAACACGCGGTGGGAGAAAAATTTAGTCGATCGCCCTTGGGAACTGACATATTCACGCGAGTTCCATTTATTACTGTTGCAAATATCGACAATCGATTTCATTTGCCATTTTATTTGCTATTTTATTTGCCATTTTATTTGCCATTTTTTCCGACCATGCTATCAAAAAAGTTAGTTTTTTATTCATATAAACCTTTGTGTAAAAAATGATGGTAATGATTTTTTTTAATAGGAGTGTTTTTCTTCTTCATCGTCAATATTATCGTTATTAGTGAAAAAGATAATGGGATGTGTAACAAATAAGTTGTACCTTTAAGTAATAATGATGCTGAAGAACTTTTTCACCCCAAGAGAAATATATATAAATTATAAATTAATGAACTTAAGACATTCTTTGAAATGTAAATATTCAATCTAATGAGAACGATTAATTCAAATGGTTATGATGAAAATAAAAACAAATATTTAAAGAAACATTAAGTATAAGAATACTAGAATTAACTAAAAATTATGCAGATAAATTTAATTAGAAAAAAATAATTTAATTATTTAATTATTTTTTCTATATTTCTCTTTCTATGGATAATTGATAATTTAGCGCAATGAAATATTTAAGAATTATTCTTTCAACTATGAATTTGACAAAGTTTTTAATTTTTGGAAAAAAAATATAGCTTCTCTGCTAATTATCATAATTATGAAATATTTCTAATAATATACATTTTTGTTTGAATTATTTCTCATAAATTTTATGGCAATATATCGAATTAATTATGAGAAGCTGCTTTAAATTTTACCACCCTCGCATCATAAGGCACATATACAAAAATACTATCTTTTGTTTCTAGAGATGCCATATCAAATATCTGAAATTGATTAAAAAAAAATCCAAAGAGAAACAATTTTATTACGAAATTATACTAATCTTAATGGTTCGTCAATATGACCGTATATCCCTCTTTATCTCTTTCTCATTTTCGCTTGTCCTAATATACCATATGCGCTCGAAGATATTGCACCCATGATGAACACACGCGTAAAGAACATTAACCGTCAGGGTAGGGGTGGCAAAGTAAACGCGGCAGAACAAACGAAAATGTGCCCGCACAAGAGGCCAGTCTGTGAGAAGGAGAGAAAGGGAGACGGAGACAATGTCACTATAGCCGGTACCGAGGATCAATACGTCACGAACACGGTCACAACTATTCGTGCATACATGCGAGACTGCGCCCTTACTGACCATCACACTCTGAGATAAGTTCTGCAAATGATATATTATATAATCGTATGCACACATTACTAAAAATAAACTGACTTGCCTTCTACACGTGATACACAAAATTAATCGTCTCGCGAGATCAAAAAGTATGCATTATGTTAATAATATACGAGATGGATTTGGAACGCATCGGAAACACGCACAGCCTCTCTTTCTCAAATTTATAAAATTTATTCTTATGTATATATTTTTTTCTCATACTTAACTCTATGATAAATATTTGCGATGTTCGTGCATTATCGTAAATTACAGATAAATTTCCTATTAAAGAGATTTTCTTTTTTAATATTTCACGATGTAATGTAATGAAATAAATTCTCAAAAATCTATTTATCTTTGTTCGTCATTACTGGAGGCTATAATCTTTTTAACTACGATTAGAAAAAAGTCTTTAATGAAAGTTATATATATATATTGCTATAGATATACTGGCAATCTCTCTTTTCTAATTCATCTGTCATTTTTTAACTGTATTTTCATTATTAAAATCATTTTCTTCAATTGTTACTTAAAGCTACATTCCTTAAAAAATATATAGCTACACTATCGTACAAATTTTCGAGATTAAACTTTCAAATTATAAGTCCAAGTCATAAATTATGATAGCTGAGAAATAATTCTCTTATTATAACTGCTAAACAAAAAAAATTGGAAGCATAATGCATGTGTATAAATATTATGTTTACATAAAATAATCTAAAGATATAAAAATAATGCTATGCTGATACATTTAGTATGTAAAAAATATTTCTTATCAACTATTTTAAGCCCACTGATTAATGCCCACATTTGCTCTATACAATGATATCTTATTTCAATCTCTTCACTTTCTTGCAAAAATAAAATTAGGAACTGACATTTTTCTACTTGAAACTAAATATAATATTGCCATATATCTTACAAAAAATATTTATCTTAAAAAATATTTCTTTCAATTCCCTTCTGTTTTAATAAATGTAGTACAATAATTGTAAAATAGTATAACTTTGTAAAATCAAGAATAATTTTGTTTTTAAAGATGGGATTTTTTCTCTCATACTTTCATTCTTATCCTGCATTTTATTTTTTTCTCAAAATGTCAGTTGCCATGTTTATGCCATGTATATGCTTCCATTTATCGCGCTTGTAGTAAAGTTTATCAAACTTTGAAACTTACAGCACAAGTGTCTGCTTGATACAAGGTCTTTTCTAGTTGAAAAAATCTTCAACTTCAGCTAACTCCCTTGCTCGTGCTTGTTGATGAGCCCACCGAGCTTCTGCGAGCTTGTCACTTAATCCCCATTTGTCATGATACACGCGTTGACCGCAACTTGGACATTTCTTACCCCCTAACAAACAAGTAGACAAAAAATAAGGAGCAACAAAAATTTGTTTAAATCTTTCAATATAATATGATAATTTTGATATATAAAATTCATATTTTACCATGGAATGGCGGAGTCTTCATGTATTTCACAAGACATTTTAAGTGGAAGAGATGACCACAGTAAAGTCTTTCGGCGTGGAAATCTGCACTTTCGTCGGTTACAACCTCTTCTGGATTTGCTGGTAAGCATATTATTTTGCAATGTTGACAAGACTCTTGTGGAAGAGCTTTTACAGTTCTGCACAAATTAAATCATAAAATTAAAAAAAAACTATAATTAAAAGTATACTGATGTAAGAATAAAAATTACTTTATGAGAAAGGATGCAGTTATATTTAATGATGGTGATGGAGTGAATAGCTTCTGAGCTTGTTTCTTCAATGGTTCTTCGACACATTGTCTTGCTAATTCTCTTCCTTGTCCAACTAGATAGCGTTTAAACAATGGTGGAAAATTTGTATCAACATCACTAAATCTGCAAATAAATGGTATAAAAATGAATAATATTGAATTTACTGAAATTTACATGAATTTTGTAGAAGAAAATTGAACATACATCACACAATCGATGGGGTAATTATTCGGTATTTCAAGCTTGGTCTTAAAATGATATAAACCTTGATATAATGTTAAATAAATATAAGAATTCTTCTGCTTCAATTTTAACTCGTCTTTGTCCCCTAGAAGTTTCTTTAATGTTGATATTTCATCATAGCAACAGATGAGAGGATTTTCCTCAATAAAATTTCTGATAAACTTTAAAATCAGCAACACCTGCCAGTATAAAAGAGAATTTATTAAGCAAATATAAATTTTATGCGTAACAAATTATTAGGTATAAATATAAATATAGGGACCTGTGCTTTGTTCAATAAACGTTTGCACTCTTTTTCGCAGACTTCGGTTAGTCCATCAAGCAGCTTTGTAGATAGAGTTTTACTTTTTAACTCGATAAACAGAGGTGACGCGGGATAATCTTCTCGAAACTGGATACACACGACGAGTTGCTTGAACGATGTTTTCCTGCAAAATAAGAAGATACAATGCCAAAGGTACAATGATGATGTACCATGATTTTGACGCAACGAACACGAAATAAAGGATTTTCTTACGTTATTTCGACGCGAACCATGCTCCGTACGCAAGAGACGAGGCGGCTTCCGTCAACAACATTGTGACAGAGCTGAGATACTTCTCGCAATTCATCGTCAATAAATCCCATGAGCAAGTGAAGAGAAAAAGACCTTCCGATAGTTCTGCCGCTAAGAGAAAGCAATGTCGACGAAATTACGATGAAACATAATCTCCTGACCGGTAAATAATTTTGTCCGATGAGTTGTTTCAAGAGTAAATAATAACAACTTTTGTTGACGCGGCGTGCCGTGCCGTTACGTCACAAGCAATCAGAAAATGATGAAATTTCTTGACGATTATTTCTCTCACTTCCGGCGTTTCTGTAAAGCCGCGAATTTCAAAGCCCATCAGACGTATCCATTAATAAAAAAAGCTACGTACTCTGAAATTTGATATCTCTTAGAAATATCACGTGATATACTATTTATAGGCTGCTCCTAGGTTTAGCTGACAGTACAAACATATATGAATGAATGATTTTTCAGCACATACATCTGGTGGCCTATATCGGAACACATAGAATAGGGACCAATCAGGATTAGAGGAAATATAACGTTTGTATATTGACAGAGGAGAGATGTCACGGCCTGCTTTTAGGTGATACCTGAAAGCGATACTCCCTCTATGGACATTGAAAATGTGGACGTGAACTACAAAGCCATTGTCCATGAATGTTCTCGGAGGATAATATTTCTGGTTTCATTCCGTGCTATGTGCACAAAATGGCGGTAGCACCAGAATATAAGAAGACACTTATGTATATAAACTAATAGTAAATAAATTATTCAGTCACGAAAGATACTGCAATCTTCCAATGTAATGTTCAAAGAGGAAATAAATATTTTTCTATATTCATTGTCATATTCATATATTTTTATTTACAAAGCACAAAATTTATATAAATAAATATTTAACGAATTAATCGAACGATTGCATTCGACTTGCCATTTTACTCGCCGCGTTACAGTGAATATCGCGCGAGAGAGACAGGCAACATGCATGGCGTCATGCACGATTTCAATCGTCTGCGCGCAAACGAAAAACAGCCAATTTATATCTCGACTTCCGGACGCGATAGCAATTTCGTTCTTTTTGCAAAAAATTCTACACCATTTCGCGGCACTACCGTTTAAATTTCGTCCCGATCGCCCGAGAAGCGGCTAACTTACAGTAAATATCCGAAATCTGCTTCTTCGACTCACACTTAAGTGTAATATTTATATATATCGAATAAAAAAGCGAATCAGAATGCATTTTCATTGCTATTTTCAGTCGAATAGTGAATTAAATATTTATATATATCAAACGAAAAGATGAATCGGAATGCATTCATTCGATTAATTATATATATAAATATTTAACGAATTAATCGAACGAATGCATTCCGATTCATCTTTTCGATTGGTATATATAAATATTTAATTCACTATTCGACTGAAAAGATGAATCGGAATGCATTCTTTCGATTAATTCGTTAAATATTTATATATATAAATATTTAACGAATTAATCAAAAAAAATATTTATATATATAAATATTTAACTAATTAATCGAACGAATGCATTCCGATTCATCCTCTCGTTGGTATATATAAATATTCAATTCACTATTCGACTGATTGCGTTCCGATTCGCTTTTTTATTCGATATATATAAATATTACACTTAAGTGTGAGTCCAAGAAACAGATTTCGGATATTCACTGTAAGTCAGCCGCTCCTCGGGCGATCGGGACGAGATTTAAACGGTAGTGCCGCGAAATGGTGTAGAATTTTATGCAAAAAGAACGAAATCGCTATCGCGTCCGGAAGTCGAGATATAAATTGGCCGTTTTTCGTCTGCGCGCGGACGGTCGAAATCGTGCACGAAGCCGCGAATGTTGCCTGCCTCTCTCGCGCGATATTCACTGTAACGCGGCGAGTAAAATGGCAAGCCGAATGTAATCGTTCGATTAATTGATTAAATACTTATATATACCGAATGAAAAGATGAATCGGAATTCATTCGTTCGATTAATTCGTTAAATATATATATATATATATATATATATATAAATATTAATATTATATATATAAATATATATATAATTATTATAATATTATATATAATATAATATTATAATATTATATATAATTATATATAATATTATATATATAATTATAAATATAAATATAAATATTTATATATATAAATATTTAATTAATTAGTCGAACGGATTGCATTCCGATTCATCTTTTCGTTCGGTATATATAAGTATTTAAACAATTAATCGAACGATTACATTCGGCTTTTCATTTTACTCGCCGCGTTACAGTGAATATTGCGCGAGAGAGGCAGGCAACATGCACGGCGTCGTGCACGATTTCAATCGTCCGCGCGCAGACGAAAAACGACCAATTTATATCTCGACTTCCGGACGCGATAGCGATTTCGTTCTTTTTGCAAAAAATTCTACACCATTTCGCGGCACTACCGTTTAAATTTCGTCCCGATCGTCCAAGGAGCAGCTGACTTACAGTAAATATCCGAAATCTGCTTCTTCGATTCACACTTAACTGTAATATTTATATATATCGAATAAAAAAGCGAGTCGGAACGCAATCAGTCGAATAGTGAATTAAATATTTATATATACCAAACGAAAAGATGAATCGGAATGCATTCGTTCGATTAATTTGTTAAATTAAATATTTATATATATAAATATATATATAAATATTAATATTATATATATAATTATATATAATTATTATAATATTATATATAATAATTATATATAATATAATATTATAATATTATATATAATTATTTAACAATATTTATATATATAAATATTTAACGAATTAATCGAACGAATGCATTCCGATTCATCTTTTCATTTGGTATATATAAATATTTAACTCACTATTCGACTGATTGCGTTCCGACTCGCTTTTTTATTCGATTATTTCTATTATAATATCTTTCTCTCTCTTTACTGTACTGATTTACTCAATTATTCCTTTTTTTCTCTTCTCAACATATTCTTATCCATCTATATTCCTCCATTTCTTTTATCTTTTCTTCATTCGTGCTTGCTCTTGGACCTCATCTTATTTTTAATTTATCAATCCCTAATTTCCTTGTTATTATGTACCTTGGTGTGGAAAAATCTAATTTAAATAGCCATCTCACACAATCCAGCATAATCTTTTCCAATTCTTTTTTCTCTTCCCTCATCCCATATCTCTATCCCGTATGCCATCACTTTCTACTAAATAACTAAACTAAATAACTAAACTTCCATCTCCTATTAAAATCCTTTTTATAAATTCTTTCTCCTAATACTCAGATCTTGTTCGCTGCTAATCAACATTTCCTCACTAATTCTTTAATATGCTCTTTATATTTCCTGTTCCTGTTGAAAGTAAATCCTAAATACTTGGAGTTCTGCACCTCCTCTATCATCTTTTTATCCCATTTCCATTTTTCCATCTTTTCTTTCTTTTTTCTATTAAATACCACAAAATTTTCTATTAAATACACAAAATTTTTGTTTTTTCCGCATTAAATTTTAAATCTCTATCTTTACAAAACCTCTTGAAAATAGCCATCATTTCTAATAACATCTCTCTATTTTTTGCTAACAAAACTATATCATAACGATTTATATAAATTTTAATCGTACTAGACAACGCTATTTATTCCCTTTCATTATATATTTCTCACTGTCACACAAGCTGTCAGAATTTGTAATAATCGCAAATGACAGCTGCTCACAATATGAATTGAGCACAATAAAAAACCAATCGGCATCGCGGAAGAGAGATAACAATACTTCGAGACTTTCGAGAATCGACTTAACATGCCTTTTTTAGAATAGGCCAGTTGAACCTATCTTTCGTTGATCCTGGCTACTTTCTTTCTCGATCTCTAATCAGAGATCGAAGAAAGAGATAATTACTCCTTTTTTTGCCGGATAATTACCGGCAAAAAAGCGTGAAATATTTACGCCCATTTAATAACGATCGTCCGATTTCACGATCGCTCGTTAAATATTGAATATAACTTTATTTTAACTGAAATAAAGCCAAATTACTACAAATTTTTATAAATTATATTTTAGAATAAAATGTATAATTAATGTGTGTATATTTATCGTATTACAAATTATTTAATTAATTAATCATTGGCTTTATATTAAATTAAAGTAAAGTTTGAAAACAATATCTACAAACAAATTCTACGATGGATGAGCATTAGAAAATAAGTGCATTATAAGAATAAATTAGCATCAAAAATTGATAAAATTAATAATTGTTAATGAGTGTCCTTTATAAATTAGACAAAATCATTACAAAAAAATCTTTTCTTGATCTCTTCTTTTTTTAATTAATATTTCAATATATTTTCGCAATAGATATAAAGTATAAGTTCTAAAGAACTTATTAAAATTTTTTAATTTAATTAATTTAATTAAATTATTTAATTTAATTTATTTAATTTAATCCATAGCTATAATCGTAGCTCATCCATTTTAAGGCAACGGATTTATCTACAATATATAATCTATATCTACAATCTACATCTGCAACTTCTACGAATCCGTTATCTTAAAGTTAAATAAAAGTTTTTTTCACTCACCGGCATTGATGCGCAACAGCGGAGTTGTTATCGAAGCTAGTTGTCTGTAACATACAAATATAAAATTCATTTATAATAATGCTCACAAAATGCAATTAATATTTAAAAAAATTTTTATCGCACGGAATTTTATATGTGTAAAACAATGAGCAGATAAACATGCATGGAAAAATTTTATAAATTTTTAAAACTGCTTTTTAAATAGAAAATTTTATATGACTTGTATAAAAATCTTTCTTTTTATTTCATTTAAATAATAAAATCGAATTATTGTTCGTTTAACAAGTTAACGATTTATAACAATTAATATATAAATAATAATATTCACCATCAGGTTGTTCCGCCGATGCAGGATGCCTCTCCTAGGCCTGCTCCTCCTCTCAGATCATCAGGGTTGCATCGATCTATAATATACAAAAGAAAATTCCAATGTAACAGCGTTCAAAATAATTAATATTTCAAAAATTATTGTATACATTAAATTTTATATTCAATGCACATAATAATAGCAGATTAATAATTCTATAAATTTTAAAAAACATTACTAATAATTCTCTTATAATTTTATAATAGTTTACATTTTTACAAAATTATAGCTTCAATTTAAAAATCTTTTTCTTTAATTCTCACTTATTTAAATACAAATAAAAAAATATAAATAAAAGCATCAAATTAATTGTTGCGATTAATTGTTTAATTTAAATTATAATAAATATATTTAATATTTAATATATAATTATATAACAAATAAATAAATTGCTTACCAGAAAGTTGCTCTGCCGGAGCCTGATGCCTCTACCATGCTTCCTCCTTCTCTCATGTTGTTGGCGCGCGATACTGAACGACACTCCCGCACTCGCGAGCAATATTTTTATATCGCTATTTTCGTTATTTTACGCGCGATACTGAACGGCACTCCCGCACTATTTCGATGCGATTAAAAATTTTATATTTGATCGCGCGATATTACAACGCGAAAATGCGACGCGTTGACGAAGCGCTTGCCGTCCGCGGCACGTTGACAGCACCGACGACGCGAAAGGGTACTTAGCTTCCTATTCAGGCACCTTAAGATTTAACATAAATTGAAAAATTTAAAATAAACCTCAAGGCACCATCCAAGTACTAAGCCCTCCCACCGCGACAAGGTGTACCCCATGGGAGGGTTATATTATATTATATATAATTTTATATATAATATAATATATAATTAATTTTGTATTATACTATATAAATTTTATAACTTATAAAAATATTAATTATTTACATCTTATTGATCCATCCATTTCCAAAACCTCCTTTTTTTCTTTTGTTTTACTTTGTCCTCGTGGCACTCCAATTCTGGCTGCAGTCATTTGAATTCCACGTTGCACTTACACTTATGAAAAGTTCCTCGTTGCAATTGTAGTTAGAGAAAGAATTTGATAATATAATGGAACGTCTCTCACCTCACTACCTCACTGCTCGAGAGCCATTGACCGAATGATCGTAAGTCAGAAACATTATCACGGTACTGTTTATATCGTCAAAGTTATTTGAAGAAGGAATTTGTGAAATACCTCTCTCGTCACTACTCAAGATTACTGTGCGAATGATAATAAAACCGTGTCACATATTAACAATAGCGCGATACTGTTCATCAAGGTCGAACACGGTGTTATTGATAAGTCTCTTGTTGCTGAAATATTTTCTGTAATATAAAATATTTGTGCGCGGAATATTAAATTATAGAAGTATTTTAATTTATTGATTAAGATTAATTGATTATTTATTAACCATTCATCTTGAAGTCTTTCGCTATGCTAATTATTTGCATCTATAATTCGATTGTTTTACTTCGTGTTCTCTCACAATTGTATTATATCCCCCCCAATTATATTTAGATTGTCAAGAAATAATAAAAGAATAATAAAATAACACGGATGGAATATATTTGTGACTCTAAATATTAAAATAATAATTCCAATTGTTCGTATTGTTAATATGTTGGATTTCTATCATTTATCGATCTATCATTTTATCGATTCTTGATTAAATTGTATATTGTTTAATTAACAAGGATTGAGAATGTTTAATTAACAAGGATTGAGAAAATTAAAGCATTCGTCGAAATATATTTAATTCTAATTCTATTGTTAAGAAGATATCATTATAATAAGCATCAATATGATCAAAAGATCATAATATATTTAATTCTCTTGTCCTCTTTCATGTATCCCCTGTTTCAATTTTTATTCACAGTAATGAATGATTACGATTCGATAAATATTTATCGTTGCGATACAGTTTCATGTCATTTATCAAAAGTTAATTCATTTTTAATTATTAATATTTATAGCAAATTATGTTTAATACTAATTCTAATCATATTTAATACAAAAATTACAATATACGAAGCGTTTCTCACCACTACTTTATTACTCGAGAGTCATCGTGCGAATGATGACAAAGCCATAACGTATAGTGTGCTACTGTTTATATTTTATATTGCTAAAGCCGAACACCGTATTATCGGCAATTCATTGAAATATTTTATATGTTATAAAATATACACTAACGCAAAATATTAAATAACAGAAATACTTTAATTTATTGATTATTAATTAAACAATTTCTCACGGAGCTTTTCGTTATATGTTAATTATTTGCATCTATAATTCGATTGTTTTACTTCGTGTTCTCCCACAATCCAAATTATATTTACATTGTCAAGTAGAACGATAAGATAACGCGGATGAAATATATTTGTGACTCTAAATATTAAAATAATAATTATTGTCCATAAAAACGGACAACGATCGAAGCGATTATTTAATATTTTGGATTCCTATAATTTAATCGATTCTCGATTAAATTGTATATTGTTTAATTAACAAGGATTGAGAAAATTTAAAGCATTATTCGAAATATATTTAATTTTAATATTGTTAAAGCAATATTTTAATTAACAACAATGATCGAAAGATCATTACATAATTAATTTTCTTATCCCCTTTTATATATTCCCTGTTTCAATTTTTAATCGCGATAATGAATCATTACGATTCGATAAAGATTTATGGTTGCGATACAGTTTCATATTGTTAATTAATTTCGAATTAATTAATTTTTATTAATATTTAAAGCAAATTATGTTTCGATACTAATCGTAATCGTGTTTAGTAAGAAAATTACAATATTCGAAACGTTTCTCACTACTTTATTATTATTTAAGAGTCACCGTGCGAATGATGACAAAAAGCGGTAATGTATGTATAGCACGCTGCTGTTTATATTTTATATTGCCAAAATCGAACGCCGTATTATCAATAATTCGTTGCCGAAATATTTTATATATTATAAAATATACGTTAGCATGGAATATTAAATTATGGAAATATTTTAATTTATTGATTAAAATTAATTATTTATTAAACAATTTATAATGGAGCTAATTATTTGTATCTATTCGATTATTTTACCGCGCTTTTCCGAAGTCAAATTCTATAATATTTAGTTTTACATTTTAAAAGATTGACTTATAGTGAGCTAAATAAATAAATAAATAAATGATGTTGAAAAGAAAAAAAAGACACATAAATAAATAAATAAATAATAGTGTGAAAAGAGAGGACATACTAATATTTTTATATAATAAATTTTTATATAATAAATTATTTATATTTTTATTTATATTATTTATATTATCAGAGAGACATATATATTACTCTCTGAGAATATTCGTAGACATTGGCTTTGTAGTTCATGTTCACATTTTTAATGTCCACAGAGAGAGTATCGCTTCCAGGTCAGCTAAAAGCGAGCCATGACATCTCTCAGGCCGGGTCTACATTGAATCGCAAGTCGTAAGTCGTAGGCAAATTGTCCAATCATAGTCGATTATTTCAAAAATAATCAATCATGATTGGTCAATTTGTCTACGATTTGATTTACGATTTGCGACTCAATGTAGACCCGGCCTAAGTCTTCTCTCTGCTACCGCGCATGTGCGAAAGAAGACCCTAGAGAAACTTCAGGAGGAAAACGCTATAACCTATCCTCTGAATTCTAACCTAATCTGTCTGTGTCTACACGTGTTTTGTGATGGTGAGTTTAAGACGTGAGATCGTACTCCAGATATTTATATATTAATATATTAAAATACATATATTATATTTATATACTAAATTTATATATTATTATATTTATATATTAAAAAAAGAAAAAGAGAAGCTAAAAACATTTTTTTTCCAGGAGAGTCATGACATTCACGTAATTTCGACATAATCGATGTCAGTCTAGCGTTTTGCTGTAAGTATCGTGAGACTCCAAAATGTCACGAATAACCGATGCGAAGGAAGTGATCCTGACGAGTGACTCCACCGGGGAAAGTTGGAGCGCCGCGGTATGGGATCCCCGAAATGGTTCTATGTTGTCCGTCTTCAAAAACGCGTCTGCACTTGGCCACCGCACTCTTCAGCTTCTGAGCGACAGCTACGTGTTGGGTGCCAATGCCACGAAAGCGCGTTTACACATCTGGCCGCTGAACAGCCCGTCACCCTTGCCCAACATTCGTCTAAACACATCGGGTAAAGTGAACGCCCTGACTTGCACGCCGAATGGTTCCTACATAATCGCCTCGGTAGACGAACAGCTGTTCATTTGGCAGACCTGCACCGGTAGATTGCTGGCCAATTTAACCAGGCACTATCAGCCTGTTTGCTGTCTGGCAATCACGAAGGACGGATCGTTATTCGCTAGCGCCGGCGAGGATGGTCTGGTGTTCGTATGGTCTCTCTACAAAGCGATAAACGACAAGCAAGACTATTCTCCAGTTCATACTTTTTCTAATCATAATATGCCAGTCAAAGATATGCACTTTGGCTTTGGCGGCGCTCGCTCGAGATTATACACGGTCTCGTTGGATCGAAGAGCCAATATCTACGAGCTCGGTAGCGGAGCTCTTTTGGTTTCATTGATATTCGAAATGCCGCTTACAGCGGTCATCGTGAATTCCCGTGAGAGCGAACTCTTCGTGGGCTGCACGACCGGTGACATATTCCAGTGTAATTTGCACGAACCGCCACGCGGAATCGAGCAGCACGTGGCAAAGGACGACGAGAAAATAATGTTCAGAGCTCACAAGTCGCACGTCACTGCCCTGTCAATATCCGTAGACTGTCGTACTCTGTTGTCCGGATCTACCGATGGAGCCGTCCATATCTGGGACATTGTCAGTCGGCAGGTACTCAAAACGATTGAGCATAAAGGGCCAGTTACCGCCGCATTCTTCGCAAAAGGGTTTGAAAACTTTCGCGCTTCTACTCTCGAGCCGCGCTTGGAGGTGCGTAATCTGCAAAGGACGTTAGAAGCCGATGACGAGCTCGAATCGGAAGACATTATCGAAGTAATTTCCAGAGGACGAAATCCGGCAGAGATTCTGGACTTTCAATCCTATGTGGGAAATACCGTAAATACCGTTGATTCTTCAGAACAGGAAGAATTGATAAAACAATTGAGGGAAGAGATTAAGATGCTGAAAAAGACTAACGCAAGCTTATTTAAGTATAGTGCCACGCATATTCTGCAAAAAGCAAACGATAAGTGATGGACGATATTAGAGTTATAATAAAGATTTTATCTTCCTTTGAAACGAACTGAAAATGTAATTACATTTTATAAAATTAAAAATAAATATATATGATTAAAAAAAAAAGATAAAGTGAAGTATTAGATAGCATTTTTTATTTATATAAAAATATGTATTATCTTGTTATAAAAGATATCAAACTTTTATAAAAATATAATTACAAAAAAAATTAAAATTTTTTTTACATTCGAGAGAAAATCTTTATTCGTAAATTATTTTCGACGAATATAAAAAATCCCCAAACTTTTATATTTTATTATTGTTTTTCACCATATTTTGTTGTATTTTATTATTATATTCTATTATTTTATTTTATTATTATTTTTATTGTTTTTTATCACAATATTGAAGTATTTCATAGTTCCATTAATACCGGACGATTTTGTATTTTATCTTAGGTTAAAATTTAATATTGCAAGATATATTACATTCTCATAGTGTTATTTGTAAAGGGCGCTACTAATTAGGATATTAAACTGGAAAATAATTTCTTTGACGGATAATCTGCCACCGCCAAATCGAGAGAAACGACATGATATATATATTCTCTTTCCTTACCCTTCTTTTTTAAAATACAATATTATAAATAACATCCTTTTTCTAGATGGCGTAAAATAAGTAAGGTATAATATGAAAATGTGACATTTTATTGTCAAGAAGAAAATTTTTTCTCACACTATTGAGCAAAATCTATAACCTGATAGAGCGATCTTTACTTTCTTGCTGGCCTTTTTGCGACATTAAGCTATGTATTTTTTTCTCTTTTAAAAGTATACAATTAGTAAAAATCTTCTTTGAAAAAATCAATCACTTTTTTCGCTCGAAATAAACTTGCTAGACACATGTACGCGCGTATTCCGTACCAGTATCCTTAGCCATATCCTTATACACGTGTACAATTAATTAGACAGCAAGTCAGTTAAATGTTAGATACGATCTTCATTGACGCTCCTTTATATTTAAATGAGCTGATAGACGCATACAAATGAAACGCTCACGAGAACACTATGTCTGTCGCAGATAAATTAATCGCGAAGCAACATCGCATGCACATTGTCTCTTCAGGTTGGTCAATGAGCTCTACTGGCTAGTTTAATTTTCAGTTACATCCGGTGCATCGTAACTATCCGTGAGTTCCAATTGTATTGATCGTTCCACATTTTTATCTATTTTTGTAGAAGAAATTTATTCGGAAAGATGAAAGATCCATAATTCTCCATTTTCTTTCTACTGCAAATGAAAGAAAAATTTCTTTCTAAAATTCATTAAAAACGAATAAGTCAATTCACAAGGATTGCTCAGAAGACTTCATTGTATGAGATACGTTGTGTACATGTATATTACCAGCATTTATTATTTATGACACGTGAAAGAAAGAATATATAAATTAACACAGATTTGTTTTAAAATCCCCAATCTTTGAAACTGAATGGCTTATTGGAATCTTTCCTATTCATAGTTTTAGTGTCGATGTAACAGTCCAACGTGCATAAACGAAGGAAGAATGCGAAAAAGGATCGCGCGAGCACGTTCATGTTAGGGAGATTATTCTCACTTTGGAAAATCGCACTCGGTGTTTAGAAAATGTCACGCACAGTGATGCATCATAATCTGTCGCATGATAATCGCATCACGCGTGTATAAATCTATATATTATCCTGCATCCATTGTAATCGACTCCTTTTATGCCTACGTCAGCATTGACCGAATTACTATAATTGACAACCCACGTTCCAACTAGGAATGTTCAAAAGTGCGTCTAGGGATCAATTTATTTTTTGATAAATAAGGCTTTCCACCTAAGGGTTCCCCGGTACATCAAAATCGACTGTATCACAAAAATTAATAATGTATATCTCTATACTTATACATATCACCCATAAAATGACGGTTATTATTTACATTGACATGATATAAAAAAAACCTTCTGGAAAAAAACGTTGAAAATTTTATATTGAGGAAAGAAAAAAAGAGAGAAAACGATATCGTGAAAAACAGCTAATTTTCTTATAGAAAAATACTTATATGAAATATATTCTTTGACTTAATGACATCGAATAAATATGATTGTCATAGGTAAATGTAATGTATTACAATAACTTTTTTTTAGTATAGCAATAATTGTTATAAAATTGATTTGAAATCATCACCGACAATATTTGTTAATAATATTTCACCAATAATAATCTTTTACATCATGTTTAGCCGATTATTTCATCAATACATAAATGTTTGTACCTGTATTATGTATCTGATTAAGCAAGTAACTTGATTGTTTCTGCAAAAAAAATAACGCAAGAATCCTGAAAATTTTGCAAAATTTTGTAGAAAATTAAACAATTTTTGCTTTTTAACGCAGAGTTTTTTATAAATTTTTCAAAGTTGGATAAAATTTTAATTTTTAACTCGAAAAAGATCCAACATCCTCTTATGCAGATCGCAGAAAATACATCGCAAGAAGTAGGGACGGGAAACGAGTCGGAGGTTCTGCGATAAGGGGGTTGAACCCCCCTTGGGGTGGTAATTCCATGATCGGGTAGAGTGGCGCAACCCCGGTAGAGGCGCAAGGTATAAAATCGGACGTCGAGTAACAGGAGGCATTCAGTGTCGGTGCGATTCTAAACTTTGCAGCATCACTATTTAAAAATTTGATTCGCGTCATAGAAATGCAGGACAACCGATTTTTCATTCTCATGATACTTCTGGTATTTTCTACCTCTCTAAATCGTAAGTCGATGTTGCGAAATTTATAATAAGCCTTAGAACATTTTACTTTTTGATTTTTAGTCATTAATAGTCGATTCTCATAAATCTGTAAATTTTTAATTAGAAAAACGAGCATTTTTTTACATCGAATTTTATTTATTTTTTCTCAAATTTTAACTTGATTTATAATTGTCAAATAATATTCATGCATTCTCTTTTTGATAATTTTTAATTTTTTGATAAAATATATAGGCTAATATATTTGAAATTGAAACATTTTTAATTTAAAAAGAATCGGCTAAATTGGCTGCAAATTTTTATTTTTTAATTAACTTTTTATTTAAATATTAGACTACATTAAACTTGAATTTCAATAGAATTTTAAATGTTAAATATCTTAAAATATTTGATTCGGTATTAAATTATTAAAAGAAAATTATTTAAAGGAAAATCGAAGAAATTATAAATAAGACGCGAGAAATTATAAATAAGACACGGAATAAGAAAAGAAACTGGCATCTAATCTAATATTAAAAGTTACATTTTTGTCAGTATTTTACAAAAAAAGCATTAGTTAATTTATTCTTACCAAGACGAAACTGTAACTCGATGCAACAATTCCCGACACGAAGTAAAAATGAAATAGGATAGGGAATTAAGTGGAAAAAGCTGCAACAGCGAGAGAAAAAAAATATTGTTACTAGATTCCCGTAGGAAATTGTTGAGTGCCTCGAGTGCGAGTGTAAATTAAATTGTTAAGGATTATGATGTTCGGTCTTTGATGAAAAAACGTCGACGACATCCTATTTATTTTTCAGTTGCCAGATGCTCGGACGACCAGCAGTTTGAATCCGCTAGAGGCAAGGAACTCTCGCATGAGTCGCATATTTTCATAACTTTTATGTGACCTTTTTCATATATATTATATAATACATATATATTTATGCATTATACATCTTTTACACAAAAAAGTTTTATTATAAGTATACAACATAATATATAATGATCATCATGAAAGATGACGATCTCTTTTAAATGTTTTTTTAAAATGCATTTGACATATTTTTAAATTCTTTTTGATGCTTTAGCGTGTTACGGTTTGCAAATTTCATTTTTTTAAAATTTTATCATGACTTTGCAATATACATTTTTATTTAAATAAATTAATACAAATTTATGTGTTCAAACTTTTAGTAAAATATATATGATAATTGTTTTTTTAGGAAATATTGTTACTCTTTCGATAATTTTCATACTTCGATAAACATTTCTTATGTTTATATATGTAGGCTTATGTATGTATTAGTCTATTCGATGTATAAATTATTATAGGTTTCATGTGCTTTACGAGGCATGTATATGTATAGCAACACATACGCAATATTCAATTTTATTTATAAATGCCGATTGCGAAAATAATTAATCTGAAAGAAAAAACAATTTTATATTTATATGTTCTCTAACTTTCAAGAAGAACACAACTCGAAATAATTTCAAGCGTGTCATTCTAATTAATTTTTATTGTCTTACTCGATGTTTCAGAGGGTCAAAAGTTGAAAGCTAATGATAGGCGATCCGCTGGATTAGTGCCGTATCCTAGAATTGGTCGAAATTCGGAGATATCAAGCTTCTCCAGGTCGGAGCGTGCTTTAGGTTTGATACATCAGCCTCGAATCGGACGATCCGACGTGTCGAGCTTTGACAATTTGAATCGATTTCACGATTTATCATCCGATGCCGACATTGAGTTTTATGCTATGGATATGGATCCTCTCTTAAGTCCTGATTACGAAGGTGAATAACTTCCTAAAAATAATTCATTGTGTTAATAAAATTATAAACGGATATATCGAACTCTTTGAAATTGTAAATTATTTTGCGAATGAAAATTATCAAGCTTTTTATAAAAATAAAATCTTATGAATTAAAAACTATCAATAATCATAAATATAACAACTTTATAAATAATGATAAAAATAAGAATAACTTGTTTGTTGACAATTTCATTCGCAATGTTAACAATTTCATTCGCAATATTGACAATTTCATTGTTACAAAATATTTTTGCATTCAAACATTTTTACATGGATGCAAAGCCTTGCAAATATTTAATATATTACATTTAGAATCAATATTTGGTATTGTTATTAATTAAAACAGCTTTTATCGGATTAAATAAACTCTATGGAAAAATACGAGCGGATGACTATATCAATGAATTAACGTGAAACAATATAGTATTATATATGGCATACATTTTCAATTTTTAACGAGTCAGCTTATTTATCAGGTTTTGTTACACCATTCGCAGAATCTCTTTTGTTTTAAATATATTGCAATAAAACATATATAAATTTACGCATTTTTGTAATCTATATCTTAACTTATTAATTGTATTTTTATATTATAGACTACGCGAGCAAACCGATAGCACTTAAATATGCTGACAAGCTACAAAAAGATAATTCCTGGTTAATGCCTGATCATATTCATGGATATAAAGATTTTCATTTCGCACAAAAGATTAACGATCCTCGACTATACTATTCTATTTTGCGAGGTATGTATGAAAAGAATATATTTTTTTATTTTGCATTTCAAATATTAATAAATTTAGATTAATTAAAGTAAATTAAATATATTTAAGTTAAATTGTGATTTTTAGTTTTTATTTTATAATTGAAATCATGAAAGTAATTGTTTGTTAAATTGATTCTGTTAAAATTGAAATATGAAAAATGTTGTATTTTTCATTTTAATGACACAATGCTGAGAATGTATTATATAAAGAGTATTAAAATGAATATTTGTAATAATGATATCTTTGAATATTATAGAATATCTTTGATATTATAGAAAGTATTGATTATATTATTTTCATTAAATTAAATATTCTTTCAAAATAGATAATCTTGCTATGAATAGTCAATAGAAATCGACTGTCACATCAATTTCTTGATATTATATAAATCGTCTTTCTATAGAGAATGGATTGTGTGAATGCCACTACTTTATCAATCTTTAAATCCAGTTTAAGAGTACACGTGCATTTTCCTACAACATATAACCGATCTGTTCTTCCAGATTCTCGAAATACTCAAGGTCAAGGAGGATATACTCCAAGATTAGGTCGGGAGAATGAACGTGACACTGCGAATTTCCTGTAACTTATTCACGCTTTGATCACTTGCCTCGCGAACTTAACGGATGTTAATCCAAAGGAAAGAAGAAACTTACTGTCAGAGACGTCACCAGAAACATGTGATGCTTTCGATCGTTTCCCCGTTTGCATCGGCGACCCACTTTATCCTTGCACTTTGTACGCAAGTTTATGCGCAACACAATACATAATCTGCATTTAAATATTGCAATTTATATAATCTTACACGCAATCCTTGCCTTGTGTCATCACGAATAATAATTTTCCGATGAAGCGGCCTGATCTTGAAGTGATTCGGCATGCAATTCTGTATGGATTTTTACTGAAAAATACATAACTCGATGTTCGTTTTTATATATAATGGAGAATATAAAATAATGAGGAAAAAAATGGAAATAAAACGAATTTAATTTACATTATGCTAAACTAATTGGTAACTTGTTGATATATATTTCCACAAATTCAAAATGAAAGTGGTTTGTGTTCGCATTTTTTAATTACTTGATTACATATAACAATTTGTACAAATAGATTCTATTACTAACAATATAGTTAAACTTTAATACGATATTTTCAATACATACTACATAGAAAGCCGTAATCAATCGGAGGTAGAATTTTTTAGAGAAAAAAAAATGATCCGTACAGCTTTTCGTTTTATTTTTAGCATATAAATTGGGTACAGAAAAACAATATATTATACTTTGTTCCAATTTTTCAATGCCAAATATCTGTTGATATTTGTGGTCTATAAAATGCGACCTATATATGCCAATGTGAATGTTATAATCGAACTCTAAACATAATACGATACGATACATCATTATCTGCATAATAAACGCAATAAGACAATACACAACAGTAACACGATATATGTAAAATTCAATGATTTTATTAATTGACAAAGTGTTCATAATGAATATTATTCATGTATAACGCACCGGCGTGCGCGCAATTCGCAACGTCCGGGTCGCGCGTGTACACGAATGTTGTAATGTAATAACAAATATGTACACACGTAGAGAGTACATAACAAACTAGTGATACACTTTGGAGAATGAATGGGAGGAAGATAATGATAATAGTGAGATGCGCGGCGTGTTTGGCTCGCGCTAGCCAAAAGTCCATCGTTTGAAGAAATAGTCGTCAAGTATATGTACAAATGTCGCCTCGCTTCGGATTATTTAACGGAGATCTAGAAGAGACTTTTTTTTTTTTAATAATTTCTAAAGTTTCTCTCTCACGCATCCGTCCGTCATTCACACGCATTCATTGTGGGCGCAAGCGGCCGCGGGCCGGACAAGCGGGCAAGGCAGGCAGACAAGCATAGACAAACAGATATTCGGTAAGTGTCCGGCAGTCATGGCCGATATCGGCCCCTCGATCGAATGCTCCGTATATTAATCTTGGTGACACGCACGGCTTGCGGTATCGATTTCCTTTCGGTACCTCTCCCCGCATTCGCCAGATTCACGCTACATCGAAGGGAAGAATGACTTGGACTGCACTTGTGGGAAATGTCTAATCCTGACTAACATTCTCGTCGTTCCCCATAGGGGTGTGTCTGGCTACCCGTCAATGATCATCTATTCGTGCGATCTCTTAAAACTGTTCGCCAAAATTGTACATCGACATGCGTTAATCATTTCTCCTGTAAACTTTTTACACATTCTTTCTCGACGTGATGAAATTCTCGAGAAAAAATCATCTAGATGAACTACGCCCATCTATATTAGTACCTAAACATAGTATAAAAATTCAAAACGCTTAAGGAATATTAAAAATATTTTTATACATATTTTAAGACATTTGAGTTGACTGTGAAAAAAGAAAAAAAAGTTTAATCATTAGTCATTTCTCAAATCATCAGCTGAATTTTATATTGCCTTTTAAACAGTAATACGCAATATTCGATTCTGTTGTTGATAAATCTTTTAATTGAAAAATCGCACAACTTATTTTCATAAACAAACGCTATTTGAAAATTTTGATTCGATAAGTGGCAGTCTAGAATTGGTATTAATATTCTTACAACACCAAGTCCTTGACGATCCATGATGACTCAGCGCACACATGACGCTAGAATGAAAATTCGATATATTTAATTAATGTGATGCGTGTCATTGTCAAAATGATTCGTTCTCCATCGAGGACCGTATACGGATCACTCGTTCGAAGCTCGCGCATGCGTCCTCAGGTGGAGTTAGTCTTTAAACGACTCCTATGACACAGTCAATATTACCGCGTGCTAATTGTTATCACATCTAATAACATCCGGCCGATAATGGACACTCCGCAGTATATCGGGGAAACGTTATTAGCGGAATATTATTGATTACGAAATTAGTATGCGCGACAATATGTGGGGAGGAGGCCGCTGCTTTAGAGGGAAACAAACTCGTGCGGCGGTTGAATGATCCGCGGCGGCGGTGGCGGCGACAGTCGCAGATCTATGTCCGTCAACGAGAACGCCGAACTGCCGTTCGCCGTGATACGCGGTCCCATGTTGTCGTAAGGCGAGCCAGTACCGGCAACTTCGGCGGAACGCAAGGCCCGACGCGGCAGCGTGGCGAAGCTGGAGACGTTGACGGCCGCTGACGGTATAATCTTTCCGCTGGCTGTGACGGCCGTCGCGGCGCCGCTGACCGCGTGGACGGGGATGTCGAGGAGATCCGGATAGCAGCGCTCCGACGACGCGTCCTGCGGCAACGACACGGAGATGAAGATGTTGCCGAAGATGCCGGCTGGCAGGACGCCGGTGGTGAATTCCGGCGGCGGGGGTGGAAATACATTCCCGGCAGCGGCGCATGGAACCGCGCGGATGGCGTTCACCGAGCTCTCCGCGGGTCGCAGCCGTTCGACGGTGACGGCAGCCGCGGCCATGGGGTCGCAAATGGAGCCACGCTCGGCCAGCTCGAGGTCACCGGTGCTGCACGCCTCGCCGAGGCTCCCATGGCCGCTGCCGCGGTCGTTGCTGTTGCCGGGAGTCGTGGTCGTGGTCACCGACAGGTCCAGCAGCTTCTTCTCCTGATCGCCGAAGCTACTGCTGCCCTGCAGCTTCAGCTTCTCGCGCTTCCTGTGTCGCCGGCTGCCGCCGCATAAGCAGAGAGCCAGAAGAACGGCCGAAATGGAAGCGCACGCGGCGGCCGCACCGCCACCCGCTAAGCTCACCCAGAGGAGCCAGTTGTCGCTCTGAGAGAGAGTCGGGGCCGTGTAGACGCGAGGTATCGCCACGCTGACCGTATCCCGGGCGATGCCGGCGATGTTCTTCGCGAGACAGGTGTACTCGCCGGCGTCGCTGTCGCTGGCGTTGTAAACGGTCAGATTGCTCCATCGATCCGGGAGGGTCTTGAATGACACGGACTTGTTGGACTTGGAAGACGCACCGACCTCGGATGTCGTATGAACGATGAGAGGCCCGGTGTATAATTGATCGGTCGATTTAGTAGCATTAACCGGTCCGCCGTTCAATTGCCACCAGACTTCCGGCTCGGGATCGCCAGACGCCAAACAAGCCAAGCTGAGATTACCGTTGGTCTCCTCCTGTATGCTACTCGCCAGGACATATACTTCCGGCTCGCAAGCAAAGTCGACGGGTTTAACGTCTTCCCATTTACGACCCGCCAATCTCGATGGACCCGTACATTTCTGCGGAGTAACGGCGTATAACTTGCTGGGGGCGTCGGGGATGAGCCAGTTGCGAAAATCCCGCAATCTGCAGTCGCATTTCCACTGATTGCCGTCCAACGATACAGTTTTTAATCGTGACAGATTGGATATCACCGAGGCTTCCAGATACTCCAGCTGATTGCCGTCTAACTTCAGCAATTCCAAGTTGCTCAAACGGGCAAAGGCCTTTCCATGTATCTCGGTCAAGGAGCACTTCTCCAATTCTAAATTCCGCAGATGCTGCAGCACCGGAAATTGTAGATTACGCAGAGTACCGAGCGGATTCCCGCTAAGTATCAAGATACGCAGGCGCTCGTTCCCGAGGAACGTGTCCGGCTCCAAGGTCGTCACGTGATTGTCCGACAAATCGATCTCGACGAGTATCCTCATGTCCTTGAAGGAGTCCGCGTGGATCTTGTGAATGCCAGCCTTGCGCAGATAGACACGCTGTAGATTCACCAGACCGGCCAGCTTGAATACCTCCGCTTGTAAGGCAGGTATCATGTTGCCGGACAAATCGAGAACTTGCATGTCCGGATCGAGAGACGCCGGCAATGACGTTAGGCCGGCGTCCGGACACAAAGCGGACTTCTTGCCGGAGGACCACTTGCATCGACATACCGCGGGGCAGTCGGTCCAATCCGGGAAGGCGACCGCTCGTGACAGCAAGGCGAAACACCCCGTCAAGAGGAAGAGGGCAAGTAGAATGTGCCCTCCTAGAGGGTGACACCTTGTCACTAACATAACACCGTCCTTTTATCGGTGTCTATCCGATGTCCGCTGATCCCGTCCGGATCGTCCTCTCGCCTCTCGGGATGGGAACAGGAAGTTGACTCCACCGCAACAGACGACACTTTTCAGTTTCACTGACGAGCTACGGAACAAAGGCTTCGCGTCAGCATCTCTTCTCGTAATCGATTGTTTGTACACTCGATATTTTGCGGTCGTCGCGGCGTCTCATCAAAGATTCGCGCTCGCGACGGATTTATCGCCGACATCGACCGTTCGAACGAAAAAAAGGAGACGAACTGCTCTATCACTACCGGAAAATAGGAATTTAATATAGGCGGAAGAATAGAACATGAGCGTACAAAGGACGGTCGCGCATAAAAGAAGAAATATTACATTGCTGAAATAACAGATAGCTTGCGACAGACTAGTGGAGACCCGTTTTGTGCTAATACAAAACGATCGTTTATCACATCGGTTCCCGATCTCTGCTAAATCTACGATCTAACGTATTTTATACGTAACTTTATATATTTTCATAAAATAAAATTTGCCTTCGCACGTTTATAAAATGCGACCGTTAAAGACAATTGATAAAGTAGCGAATATCGTATATAAGGCGAAAGGAAGACAATAAAATTCCAAGGGCAAGGTGTTTTTTCTTACTCGTTTGTCGTTGCTTAAACGTGCCGTCCGCGACACTGAATAAGGCTGTCATGCTCGCGTGGATGCTTCCATTGTCTCTGCCAGGAGTTTTCATTTCGCAGACTCGTCTTGCCGTCGTAGCAGCGGCATTGTCAGCGGACCCCCAGATCTCATTCTGATTAAATGAGCGCCATAAACGCGCGCGTATCAGTTTAAGCCAGTGCCAGCTATTCTCCCTTATAACTGCCGCGACGATTTAATCTGGAAAAAATTATGAGTTTTATATAAATGATATTTTTATATCGTCGAAGCATCAGCGGTGGAACACTTACTTGAATACCAGGATGAGTCCTTCGTTCGATTATGCGGTGCCGTTTGATATGCAGTTCACATAAGTAACTTTGCTCGCGTCACGACGATGGAACGGAAGTCAGAAAGGAAGCACGCGTGACAAACTATCGATTATGCGACCGATATGAATTTTAAATTCCGCCTCGATGCTCCTCGCGGTCAGCATATTAATCAACGACGGAATATGCCTGTCTCGCCATATTATAATCGCTGAGTCCGCGAACCGTCCTACTAACTCCCACCCCGTCGTCGGCGCGCGGCGTAATCCACACCAGAGGTGGCTTATCACACTTATTATAAATTAATCGCGAGCCCGACGAAGAACCCGGAAGCATTCGCGGGACCGCGATTAACTCTCTCATGGAGTACGAGCGTCGAGTTACAGCCAAGAGTAGGTCGGTGTCGTCTTTCGTTTGGCTCTCGCAGGTGCGAACACGACACGGCTGCGGCGTAATTGAGTTGAGCGAAAGTTTCCCGTCGAATTGGCGGTTGATATACTAGCGGTAGTTTCAGTTTGTGTAGTTCGCAGTCGTCGACGTAATGCGACCCTGTCGCGTGAATTAGTGGCGTCGATCACGATGTAGAACTTTGCTCAGTTCAATCGAGGTCTCCTTGGCACTCTAACTCTTCCTCCTTCTTACTCGTTGACCGATTCTGACCTGAGCGTGATCGACTGGGTTGACGGTCATCAACCGTGGATTCTCATCAGTTTACCTCGCATCATGTCGCCTGATAAACACGAATACGCACGTATTAACGCACGTAACAGAGCGAAAAAGATTCCCGCGGACACGCTTAACCAATCACAGGACCGCTTACAGCCACCCTCCGACTTTAAAGATGAGCGTACACTGTGCTTTGCTCCCGCGATAATTCCATCTACCCCCGTATCGCGCAGCCTTCTCCTTCTCGGTCCAGCGAATCTTTGCAAATTTTACCGATCACGATCGCGTACGAAGAGATCGATCGGAATGAATGACATACGCAAATGTCAACAATTTTCTCGCAAGCAACGCGAGGAATTTTTTTTTCCAAAATAAACGACGATGTCACATGCACTTGTCGCACTTCTCTCGGCGTACTCCCTATTGTCCGTGCTCGCTTTCACGAGAGGACACCCTCTACTTGAGCCATGAGGCCGTCAACTGACATCGACGTCCTCGAATGCTTTCTTCTCCGATCAATCAATCCCCGTACCGGCGGAGCCTCGGGGATGATGGGCATCCGCACAAATCGCTCTGGTCGAGATCGACCGCTGCTGGACTGGACGGAGAGCGACACGAAGATCGCGCGGAGTTCGTTCCATTGTCGGAGCACCTCATCGGTCCCGCTCGGACCCCGCAGGGAACGGCCTCGGAATTATTCAGAGGACACTCCGGGCCACCCCGATCAACCGATCGCGAACGTCGCAACGGCACCCAAATCCAGGCCGGGTGCCCTATGCTATGATAACACTTTTTCTCTCTGTCTTTCGACGAACAATCGTGGAGAGCCGCAGATTTGCCGCAGCGGCCACTGGCACGATGGATCTGTATCCGTCCCTCTCTCGCGCGCGCGGCGCCCTCTCCTTTGCGCCCTCCACCCTTCGTTCCCTCGTTTGCCCTTTCCTCTCGATGAACCTTTCCACCTCCTTCGCGGTCTTCCTTTTCTTTCTCTTTTCCTCTCGCTTGGTCACCCTGTGCCGTTTACCCTTTCCGGTTCCCTAGCCGTCTGCGGGCAGCACCATCCAACTCCGAATAGCGGTTCGATGATAGTAATGTCATCTCACTCCCGTCTTCTATCTACCCATTATATTTCCCTTCCCTCTCGCTCCTTCAATATTCTTTGATGGATCCCTTTTTCGATGCGACTTGCTCCCTCGCGATTCAAGGATTCCTTCGCAAGAGGATTACTTCACGTAGCGGAATTGGTCATAGCAAGGCGATAGAGGCGTAACAACGCGGAGTTCACTGGAAGCTGATAATAGTCTGACTGGTGCAGGCGCAGCTTCCTTCGTCGAAGGAAAATCGATTTTCCCTTCAGCAGCGACGTCAAGACTCTACGTCGTTTAATCGTCGAGCTGGGATTAAAACCGTGGTCGGTGAATTCTATGTTATCGACTAGACACTCCCGGGATACTCACCAGGTTCAAGTCTATAAATTTCAACATCACCTATCAGAAACATCGTTTTGTTACAAGTTCGCAATAACATCAAAGTATCGATGAATAACTATTCTTTAGGTAACAAAAATCGAAAATAGGAGAGAAGGAGAATCAATGATAGGGGATGAGAACAGATACTAATTGGACTTGATAAAGGAACTCAATCAGACTCGCTGAAGCCTGGCTTGTTTTGCGTTTCCAAGCGTTTATTACAAGACAATGCTGCGGTATCGATGGACAGCCATTGTTTAGATAACGGATTTCCGCGACGAGGATAGGAAGAATCGATTTCTTCGTAGGATAAGAACCGCTTATTGATGGGTGAAGGAAGTGTCGAGTATTACCGTTGGAAAGCGTCTCGTGTGTTCTACGTTTTCAAGCTTTTATTACAAGAATATAGTATAAACTTTTGCTCGATAGCGCGCGCTTAATCGCGCGTGAATTTTTATACATATAATTGCATCTCTCAATCCTTCGCGCAGGCCACGATAGTCATAGCTTTTTTTTCGATAATTTACCGATATATGTATAATAATAGATCTTATACGATTAGCTTATCTCGTCTAACTTGTGATCTATAGGTATATCTGTTTTTTTTTCTTCTGGTTTAACTGGAAACATACTTGGCAATTCACGTCTAATAAGTACAACGAAGCATCTTTTTTTTTTAAAATCTCGACTTTAATGCCGACGTGGGCGCCGTCGATCATCTCTCGCGCGTTCTATTTGCTGTAATTATTTTTTTGTGACCCGGCGTCACCCGCCTGTAATTGATATGTCAATTTTTTCCTTACAGCGAAGTTTCAGCTCGTTCCGGGGAAAAGCGTAGTTACTGCGAATGTCGACCTCACGGCAGTGCTGGGTATTTTTTCCAGCTATTGGCTGCAAAGGTAGACAACAAAACGATTTTAATGCAATCAGAAATAAACTGCATTTTTCTATAAAACTCCTGACAGCTCCTATGCAAAGACATTAAGGAGATATAATTCAGCATTTTTATAATCTCATAATAAATGAGAGAGTCGTGAATTCCATAAATTTATGACTATTCTTGTGATGAGATTGGAATGTGTGTGTTAATTTTGTTTTGTTCATCTGTCTAAGAATTGTTATTGATTTTATTTGATACCTTTGTAATATATGTCCCTGTTCATCGTCGGACAATTCTTCGGACCCTAAAAATAAAAAAATGGTATGCTTATTTTTGAAATATCAAAATTTTGAAACTACATATTTTGGCGTACCTGAACATTAAAATCAATGTTTGTCCGAACTGGACGATGATGAAGGGGCTGCGGTGGTCTAAAATTATTTGCAAGCGGAGCATTTGGTTGTTTTTCGTCTCCTTGCATCAATTGCCTCAAAGCATGAAGCTGCAATAATCACGAAGACAGAAATTATGAAATATAACATAAGTAATAAGTAGTAAAAGAGTATTTTCTCGATATTGGTTTTTGCAATTTTTAAATTAATTAGATAATCTGAATTTAATTAATTCACCAAAGGATTTTATAGATTAAAAATTGATCTATTATATATAAAGTAATTACATTTTAATTTATGATCCTAAATTAGTTTTACTTTGATATAAATATCACTTGAAAGTTGAAATAAAATTCATCTTTAATCTTATTCAAGCTCCATTATTACATAACATAAGGTACGAGTGATTTTATCACCTCGGTGAATATGCGATCGATATCAGTAATAACAACATTTGCAATTCTGATGTGACAGCTAATTTAAATACATGATCGATTATCACAAATGTTATTATATAAAAGAGAAAAAGAAAGAGAGAGAGAGAGAGAGAGAGAGAAAAGAGAGAGAAAGAAAGAGAGTGTATGAAGTTTGATTTAACTTATATATCAAAAATAGATTTAAACGTTCTTATTATGCAATTATAATATTTCTCAATGAAACGTAAGCCTATTAATAAAACTAGCTATCTTATTAATTTGAAAAATTAAACAGCAGCTTTCAAAAGAACTTGTTTAATCTTTTAGCATATTAATAATTATGTATATTTTATTTATTATTAATTTGAAAAATTAAGCAGCAGTTTCTAAGAGAATTCGTTTAATTTTTTAGCATATTAATAATGTACGGTTGTGCATGCATATTTTATTTATTAAAACAAAGCTAACTGTAAGCTAAAAAATTATAGATTTTAAATATTTGTGTTTTGTAAACAATGCAAATTATTTAAACAATGCCAAATTTTAAACAATACCAAAGTTTATTTATTTTTGAAGATATCTAAAATATCATTTCTTAGTTTCTTGTACTGAAAAAAAATAAAATTTATAAGAATCAATAAAGATTTCTGCAAAATCTAACAAATATGTAATTTTACATAATAATGTTCTCTGAGAGAAATGAGCTAATCAGTTTATCCTTCTTATTTCGCAATATTTTAACTACATCAAGTTATTCGTAAAGTACGATGTTCCACGATGCTTCAAAGAGATTCGCCCTCTTAATGATCGAAATTGAATAATTTAGTGGAGCCTCCGTACTTCATCGCAAACACTCGAGTGCGAGGGCGTGTGGTTGCATTTTAAAGCAACGACGATGGCATAGCGATACTTGCCTGCTGCTTGGTGATGTATATGGGCTTGTTCAGGATGATCCATGTGGTGGTCTCGTGACACGCCGGCATCGTGGTGGAGCCGTCGTACGTCATGTAATGCTTCGTGTCCGGCAGAAGTTCGCGCACCCCGAAACGTTTAATTTCCATGGCCTGCCCTGTGCAATTCATACGGTCGATAACGTCAACTTTGTTCATGTATATTACGTACAGGTGTGTGTCGCTCGATTACTATCGACGCCACGGTACACAGTTGATACGTATGTCGTTACGTATCGCTAAGCTTATCGTACACACCGCTCGATCATATTTGCATACGTCGAGGAACGTTCGCGTTCCCTTAAAGAATGATGGTAATTATCGATTTATCTTCTTAGTAAAAAGTTGGCGACAAAACCATGCCAAGTTTTCAAAAAGTTATAATGCATGCCATCATCAAACTTTCGAAGATACATCAATCTTTCCACCTTTTTATTTTTTCCAACAAAATTTTTATTCCAAAAGACCCAGATATACTTAAAAAGATAGAAAGAAAGCTATATGTTGTATTACAGTTGACCATTTGCGAAAAAAGATTATCTCTTAATGTATGCCTCGATAAAATATTATTTGAATTAAATTATATCATCTAATGTCGCAAAAATCGCATAGCGATGGAATAAAAATAATAATAATTATAATGATGTGCAGGTGTAACCGAAATATAAAAAAAAGAGATATAGTTTTTAATAATATTAATCCGTCTGATTATTATACTAATGAAATAATAATAATAATAATAAGGTGCAGATACAACAAAAATATGAAAGAAAGAGATATAGTTTTTAATAATATTAATCTGCCTAAGATTATTATATAAATTTGGACCGATGTGAAAATCCTCAAAATTCTTAGATGGACACATTTAAAACTTGTCTGCTAAAATCAGAATATCGCTTTCGCTGAATTCATTGTAACTCCTTCGTGTCATACCGTACTGTCTCCCGAAATAGACATAGTTCTTGTTACATTATTGGATTTCTCACCTCCGTATTTGATTTTATCCAGCTGCTGCGTGAACGTTCTCAGCTCCGGGTTCGAGAGGTCGCCCACCTAGAAAAGGGCCGAGAGAGTCTATGACGTATCGCTTATTCCGATCTTTATTCGATGCGCGATAAACGTTGACGAGAGAGATTAGGCATATACCTGCAGAAGTAGCGATACCGCCACAATTCCCTGCGCTTTGTGCAGGGCATCCGAGAAGTTATTGTAGAGCTGCGAATTGAAGCCGAATATCTGGAGCTACGAGAACAAAAAGCTGTTAATGTATTTCAAAGATTCTCTCTAAAGAGGAAAACAATCTCAAGAAAAAATAAAAAGCAGGAAATAATGCTTTTCAACGAGATAGTATTAATATTTTTAATAGAGCCATGCGAAGCACATTTTAAGCTTAATTATCATGAAACTTTAAAATCGGAAATGAAGAGATTGCAAGAAACATCAAAGACGTTCCAGCGAACGTTTTGTTTAAATTATTGTCCTTATCTATTTTATTTTATTTTTTTTACCTCGGCAGGAAAAGCATGTCCATCAACGGTGTGCTCGCTGCCGATGCGATCGTCCGCGCCAAAGTGCAGGTGAATCTCGTGAAATTGATAACGATAACTGAGCGGACCGCCGGAAATGTTGACGGGATGACGAGTGTCGTTCTCCACGGCAAATACGACGCTGTGACCGGTGTTCGCCAATACACCGTTAATTCTGTGCTTGTCTAAATGAAGCGGTTGTAAATTCGGGTCGAAAAGCAGTCGAGTAGGCTCGAGATTGACCGGTGATTGTCTTCGACCTTTGTTACAAAGCCACCATTCCGGGTTGATGAGACCCCAGAAGGCAGGACCTTTGAATGCGATTAATTTTTTTTTTCACAAGATATATCAGGCGACAAGAAAAGAATATTATCGACGTTGATTCTAAAAGCAATCGATTCGGATGTCTTACCGGAGATACCGTCGTACGTCCACCATTCCTCCCAGCTAACGGGTGTCGATTCTGCAAACGTTTCGTTATTAACGAGCATTATGATCTCCGCGAAACGTCCGATAATAACTTTGCGCATACTGAATTAATTTATTGTTTTATGTTGAAGTAGGACAAAGGGCTCTTTGTGCAAATGGAATCGCATTAGGCAAATGTATCGAACTTCCTAATCACTTCTAATAGCCCAGTGTTACTCAACCGAAGGGCCACTTCTCCCAAACCGATCTTTTCGGAGTAAAACATTTTCAACGTTGAATTTACATAAAGTTTCAATTGTAAATATATAATAGCACATGAAATATCGACTAATACACAAATATGCGTAAAAAAAATATGATTGATTAATTTAATCTAATTTTTCACATACGTAAAATATATATATTTTTTTATTTTATATAACATAGTTTTCATGTACCAAAAAACAGTGAAAAATGTGCAATACTACCAGAGTAACTTTTATGAGAGGGTGAAGAACCAGGTGAGAATAAGGGAGGTGTCTTTCTATATGAGATGAAAGCTTATGTCTACTAAAAGAGAAGAACGTGATAACGTAGCAGTATTAATATGCGTACCTTGTATCAAAATGACAACGAACACTCCCCAGACACCCAGGAAGACGGAATTGAAGGGGGCCATTCCTAGCGCTGCGCGGTCTTTGTCAATTGAACATCATTCGGCTCGTTTTTCTGCGACACAGAGAGAAGGAGAACCAGTTGATTCCCGGGCTAGGCTCGAGTGTGCTCGCGTGTCGCGCACCCTCTCACGTGTCCTACTGAGAGCCCGCGGAGGTCGCGACTTTCGCCCTCTCGGGTAACTTCAACTAGCCTGAACCACCCACGAGAGACTCGACGAGCCCGGTAACTTTCTAGCGAGAGAAACTCGCCGATCCGCGATAACGTAATTGATCCGTCAACCGCGCCGTCCCCCTTTCTACTTTCGTCGAAAAAAAAGGAGAAAAATAATCCGCGAACCGCCGCCGACGGGATTTTTAATCTAATCGCTCAGCGTCACGCGATGTTGACGAACATCGACGTCGAAAATTTGCATTCGACGCCCGTTCCGCACGAGAAGGTTATCGCAGCAGTCGCACTTTTCGCGAGCGACTCGATAACGTTCTCGCGAATGAAATCTCGCGAATCTATGCGTCGTTGTCGCGATCGGCAAGACGTTTTCTATCTTCAGTAGCAAAGGGAGAAAGAACCGTTCTCTTGCTCTTCGCACGATGGTCCGGTCGCGAGGATACGCGAGCAACAAGAGCAAGTAACTCTGAGAAAATGCGAGAAAGAAGAGACAAAATTCGCAGTCATCGTTGTCCAGTGTCGCTTAAACGGGGGCGGGGTTTTCTCCTCTCACTCGATCCCCACTCTGGTCCATTCTGGAGTCCACCTCACCCTGGTTTCCTCTCCGTGGCACTCGAGCAGCCGATTGTATTCTTAGGTCAGGGAAAACTCGAGTGCGCGGCTCGCTTCGATCGATCGATCGGATCTCCACACGTCGGTGTTCACGCCGAGAGAAGAGAGGAATGCCAAGTTTCGTGAGAGAGGAGAATACGTGCTCTCCATGAGCTCGTGAATTTCAAAGGCTGGCCACTCTTCGTCGTCAGCTGCGCGGTTTCCCTCTTTCCCTCTCTTTCTTTCTCGCCGATATGTGTCTTCGGGATAGATACTTTTATCGCGCGTTTCGGATCTCGCTGCTGAAATATCTCGAGTCTTCGGGCCCATCGATCGTGTTTCATACTAGCTACTTCATCCTGTGCTTTAGTTGCCTATCGACCGATACAAACGGACTTTCTCCCGAAATACCGAAAGTTCGCGTTCTCTCAGTTCTCGTCGAAAAGAAAGACGCTAGATACCAATACGATAAAAATAATTGTAGATTTTAACTAAGAAAAAATTAACCGAGAAACTCTATTAAATAAACAATCAGATCCTAATTAAATAAATAAAAAATAAATATCTATTATATATATATATATATATATATATATATATATATATATATATAAAAGGAACTTAAACAATTCAGCGTTGAAGATAAATTCTGGCATCGGTAAAATCCATTTTATTTAATCTTCACCACTGGTGTTTTTTAACTCGACGAAGTAAATTGATTAAATTAAATTTCTAAAGTGGAAAAGCTTTATAAGCGCATAAAGTATTAGTTTTTATATTTGCAGACTCATTCTTGTTTAAATATCAAAATAGCTTCATGTAGGAAAGTGACAATGTTTAAAAAAGCGCCAATTTATTTTTTTTATTATGCATATTCTTATCTTTATTCTATTTTAAGGCTAATTGCATCGTATTTCAACCAAAATATTATACCAATATATTATACAATGCATGAAAATGAAGGATAAATTTAAATTTGTCGACAAGAATATACAATTTGAATATAGAATTGAATTATGAAATATTTATCCAATTTCTAAGATACACAATTATTTCTAGCTGTACTACATAATTGATTTTCTTGCGAATTTTTTATTCTATCCGTCAAATGTTAAGAAAACAGCATTTAAAATAATCGATTAGAAAAATATCATATTAATATTCTAATTTGTTATTTTTATTATCTATTCTATATGTGTATTAAAGAAGAATTTTCCAATCATCCCTTTATCTCGTTTAAAATAAATTTAAAATAAATAGAAAAAAATAAATAGCTTACAAGTAAGCTTACTCTATATCACATACACAACTACACTTACAGTATATAAAATTTTGTCAGATTTTATCAGATTTAATGACTCGAGTGACCTAAAAAGGGGATTGATTCAATATTTTACGGGGTCTGCCGGACCCCCGGGGAAAACGACGCACAAAGGAATCTTGATCGACTCGCGCGCCGTAATACCAGAGTGCAAGCATTCGTTTCTTGTTGCCTCGCGTTTCCAGGCCGAGAGAGTGGCCAAACTCAAATTGTTATCGCCGCTAATCGATTAATCGAACGCTATAGCTACCGCCAGCGAGCTTATCTCGAGCAACAAACATTCCATCTGCGCGTTCCAAATCCCAGACAATACGATTCTAATGACCGACGTACGTGTTTCGTTCGTACACGCACGAGCGATCTTCCTTATAGGAAGAGGACGCTTTTCTCTTGTATCTTGATTACTTTTTGTCGTTTTCTTTCTTATAGGATCAGAATCATCTTCGTCTCGATCGACTTTTGCCTCACATTAGATACAGTCTTGCACGCGCTTTTTTCTCGAATCTCGAATTCCTGCCCTATACTCGTTACTATTTAATTCCTGTTACCTTGTACCTGGTTTACCTTGCTTCTCATATTTCCTCCTCGACGCTGCGCGTAGCCGCACGACGAAGACACATTCTGTCGTTATCCTGTCAAAGGTAACCGGTTTTTTACGTGTCGTGGGTCTTCAACACATTCGAAGCGACGACTGCGGCTATGGATCGAGGATGATCGAGAAGCGGAAGGAAAGGGAGACAAGCGGAGAAAGAGAAATAAGAGAAGAGAGAGAGAGAGAGAGAGAGAGAAGGTGGAAGAGTAGGTACACGCAGGTGCGACGGGGGCAGGAGCGTACGCGAATCGATCGCGGGGGCCGCGACGCGAAACGCCGCGACGCGGCGACGAACGAGCGGTGCGGCCGAAAATTCGCGTGACGAGAACGCGAAACGGGAGAGTCCGCGGCGCGGCGTCCCACCTGCGGAAATCAATAAGCGGCGATCGCAAAGTTTGCACCACCGGCCACCATCGACACCCTGATCCGTCCGCGATCGCGTCTCCCGATGCCACCGTCGCCGATGCCGACGAGTCGACTTCCGCGCGCGCGAACCGGCGAGAGTTCTACGTCCCCTAGAGAATCGTCCCTCTCCCCTCCTCACCTCGCACCCCCCCCGCTTCCTCCCCCTCTTCTCTCTATTCCCCCTCCTCCACTTTCCCGTGGGCCTCTTTCGCTTCTCCCTTCGCCGCTGGAGGATACTGACCGTGGACGACGAGAGGAACGACGTCTTTCTTTTCCGCCTCCTCCTCCTTCCTCTTCTTCTCCGCCGACGCACCACTTCTTCCACCGCAATCGCCGTCAACCGCGGCCACGACGACGCGCGCCACGCAAGCCGGGCTCCTCTTCGAGGACGATGCCGCCGGAGGACGATGCCGCCGTACGCGTCGGGGCAGATTCGCGGCCCGCCGCCCGCGAGGTCCCTGTAAATACACTCTCCGTCCTCTATCCGTCTGCCGTGCTACGTTCCCTTCCTCGTCTTCCTCCGCTTCTTTTTGCTCCGATCGCGGAATAATTTCGTTAAAAGCGCACGGCGGTGAAGGAACGACGAAGGAGGAACGACTGCCCTACGAGGCGACTGTATACGTCCCTCCTCGCGCGTCCTCGCCCCCTACCCCTTTCGCAGATCGCTCCATCCCTCTTTCTCACCCTCTGTGATATCGCGGCGCACGCGCCAGGTGTGTCCTTTCTTTCTACCCTCCGCGTGCGCGCTCCATTCTCCCTGTCTGTCTCTCCTTCAATCTCTCTCTCTCTCTCTGTCTCTCTCGTCCTTTCTCTCCCTCCGACCCTCTGTCGCGCGCGCGCGCGCGTGCGATCTATTTCGTTCCTTTCCTGCGCGTCTCCCGCTCGTTACGTTCGCGCTTGTTCGGTCGCCGCATCGACGCGTCCGGAGGATGAGAGTCTCGTGCCTCCGTTCGCTCGCTCGACCATCGTCGTGAGGACGTCTGCGCACTTGGATCGCTGGCGCGAGTCGGGACAAGAGAAACGCACGGGCAGGAAGCACACAGAGACATCCGGAAATACCGGCTCGCTTCGTTCTCTCTCTCTCTCTCTCTCTCTCTCTCTCTCGCTCTTTGGGCATAGATCCCACCTGTGCCGGCTCGAATTATAGCGAATTGACCTATTTGTCTCAAATGGGTGGCTCGGGTTTTCTCGACAGGGCGAACCCGCTCCTGCGAGAAACATCCGGAATCGTAAGCCGGATAAGGGCGCGATGTTGTAGCGTGCGACCTCGAAGCCGCTCTTCGCAATTTCCCTTCTCTTTGTATGCGAGCGACGGCGCTCGATTGCACAAAGGGGAGAGGGATCGAGGGTAGGAAAATCTTGGAGCGTACCCTCCCCGACTTACCCTACCTTTCCCTCGTGCTATCGGACTGACGTTTCTTTTCTTCTTGAGACTTACCGCGCGTAAGCAGAGCGCGCTATTATATCGGGCGTTCGGTCGGTCGATCCCGGGGTTGCTCCCGCTTTCCGGAGAAGTATGCCAGGAATTTATAGAATCCATCGAGGATATCGGCGAACTGATCCCGTCGCATTTAGATATCCCTTGGACCACCACAAATGCAGATATACAACTTGGAAGCGGATATTTGACGTAATTATCGCGCTGCGGAAATGAAATTTTCATCGAATCAGATTCATTAATAAAGAACCAATTATATATATGTATATATATATGTGTGTGTGTGTGTGAGTGTGAATCATTAACAATATTTTCGTTTTTGTGTATACATACTATAGCATTATAGATTATATGACAAAAAGATAAAATTATATATTATACATATATGAGAGAGAGATATACGTAATAAAGCGCACACATCGCTGAAAAAATTTTTTTTCGTAAAAAGAAAGTTTGTATCATGAGTATTTTTATGCATGAATTTAATTCAATGATATAAAAAAATCAATCAATCATTTTATATATCTCATTTCGTTATATAAATATAATTACTGCATTAATACTGCGATATCCATACGATAAAATATTATATGCATTCTTTCGAGGGAAACTGAATTTAATTCAAGAGAAGACTGACTCTTTTGTCTTACAAATTCCGCATGCACATTTCTGGAGTAAAACTTTTATATTTAATTCCGCGTTCCAAGAATATCACTGTACGAGAATCTCGCAGGAGCCTCGCTATTTCCGCGAGTTTTCCCGACCGAGAGAGCGTCCCGCTCCGGCCAGAAATGTCGGCGGCATCGCCACGCGCTAATCCTGTCATCGACATCGGCCCGCGGAACTTTACGATGACTTCCGCCGTAGGATATATCGATAGACATATCGGGACGAAATTACGCTTGGGGATCCTTTGGCGTTGGCGTTTCGAGGTCACCGGGCACCCCCGCCAGGATCTCTGGCGCGCGGATACACCGAAAAGCCCCTGACTGGTCGACTCTACGCGGAGGCGCTTATCGATTTTCAAAGCGGCATTGCCCCCGCGAACGCCGCTCGCCAGCAGGTCGTCGTCGTCGTCGCCGTCGCCGTCGCCGTCGTCGCCCTCCTCGTCGTATAGACACCAGACAGAGAAACGAAATGAGTGAGAGAAAGAAAGAGCGAGAGAGAGAGAGAGAGAAAGAGAGACAGAAAGAGCTTTCGGACGATTCGGTTTGACTGGCCGATGCCGATGCGGCTCGTACAGATCCACCCTCGCGGCTGCACCTGATTGCCCATTGCATATGCATGCCTGTTTGGATATTGGATTTGCCGCGAGACTTATGTTCGAGCTTTACTCTCGCCTATGTCGGCACAACGTTACACAACGTCGGCGTCGGCGGCGGTGACGGCGATTATGGGTTATCGATATTGCAAACTTAGCGCACGGGAGTCGGGATATGGCTCATGGATATGCAAAAATGTAAAAAAGCGTTTTTCCCCCCCAGACAAAGTGGGCGGGAGAGTGTTTGGCCGGCGATCGTGTCATCCTGGCGTGAGCAAACTAGTTTGCCTCTTTCGGGAACACGCCAAGAGGCGCCGCCGGGTACGAAAGCCTATGGCCATTCGACAAATTCGAGAGCGGTGTTTTTGGTCGACGTCCGATAGTTTAACGACGAGGGGATTGTGTAAAAAGAGGACCTGTATGTGTGACAAAGATGTAAAGAGGGGAAAATTTATGGAATCATCACGAAGCGCAAACGCAAATATTAGAACAGAGGGAATTATGGGAATATTAAAATGCGTAAATATTTGCTTATTCGTTAAGGGAATTGTCCGTCTCTTCCTTTCAAATCGAATGATTATCGAATGAGAAAACTTTTTGATCGATTGAAGAAATGCGACCGTTTGAAAAATATGGGAGTTTACGTCCATTAAGATTCTTGGGTATTTATTATAGCTGCTCCTCCCCGTCCGACTAACGCGGACGTGTTCTACTTACACGAGATAACGGCTCATCGTTGCGAAAATATATTGAAGCAATTAGTCGTGTCACATGACATTATGTTCTGTCAAAACTTTGGGGAGGTTTAGAAGCGTTATTAACGTCTACAACGTTTCTATATCATATATTCCACGAACGTTCTAAAATGTTGCTATATAATTTACTCAACCCGAAAATACGAGCTTAAATCGCTGATTACGTTGCAAATTTTTGGAAGTTAAATTAGGCAATTCAAGCATTCTACTTTCCTATAGAAAGGCCAGTAAATATCTCAGAGGGCTCTCTACTCTTTAAATGATCGTTTGAACGCGTAATTGCTGTAATTGAGTGCTACAAGCACAGCGCAGTTTATAAATAGTAATTCGTGTATTATTATTAGCTTGAACTGTAAGGATCTAATTAGTTCCGGATATCACATACTTATTAATAGGTATCTGGCATAAATATCTCGCTAGATGAATAAAATAGGAAATACTTGAAGAAAGTCGATGATAACAAAAAATTAAATTATCTTGTATATTTTTAAATATTAATCATATGAATTATTTTTTTCCGCTATGAATTTTTTAAACCGTCAAATTTATTTTTATTCATATTCAACTACTATAAAAAATTGTTTTTCTCGATTTGCAGTTTACCGAAATATGCACAGAAATGTCAATACTGAATATGTCAAGACTGAAATATTAGATTGATGAACATATATAATGTTTCTAGTGTATTTTCGACTTTTCTATTTTATAACAGTACACAGACTTTCCTTTAGATTATACACTAATTTCATCAAATTGTAGCAAAAGTGAACAAGCATTTTGCAGTCTGAAATAAAAAAATATATACATATATGTGTATATATTTTTAGAAGGATAATATAATATACTCAATGTACTAAAAATATTTTCTTTTTTTTTGCTTTTAAATTAGGAAATAATATAGCTCTATTCTTGTTCTACATTTAGAGAGTCGGACGTTAATCGAAATCATGGGTAATGTCCGGAAAATTACCTAGGCATCCGAAATGTCATACTAGCGTGTAGACACTATTAGTGTCAAATATTCGGGAAGTCGTAGAGCAATTACGTAAATTAATAAATAATCATTTATTATAAGTTTACTATAAATTTGAATAGAATTTTTAGAATTCGATATAAAGTCGCGATACTTGTAATAAGATATTAAAAAAATTTTAACAAATGATAACTCTCTTTGAAATGTTTCCGAATTAATTTTATCTTATATAATCATTAAAGCATTAACATCTTTTAAAATACAGTAATATTCATATCAACAAGTATTTCATAAAAATGTGTTTTTTATAAAAAAAGAATATTTGTTCTATATATTCGCGCTTTTTTTTTAGAATCATGGAAAAATTGCACACATTGATTTTTACTATTTTTATGTCGTTTATGAAGCATTATATGTGTGTGTGTTTCCTTCTTTGAATTTCAAATTACCACACAAAGAATGTCTCACTGAGAATCCTCGATCATGATACGCCCGAGTATGCGATAACAAGTAGTAGCTGCAATAAAAAAAGGTCATTCGAAGTTACTTCTTCGCGAATAGTAACGATAAAACATTCTTTTCAGAAGTCGAATACAGAAATGTCGTCGATCGCAAAAATCCAATAAGAACGGTGCTCGTAAAGCGATGCGGAGGCAAAGAAAGGATTACCATACCGACGAGAATAATGCACATAATGTCCCAATAGAGAATTGAATGTAGAAAAAATATGACTTTCTCGGCTATGATTAAATAAGATCGCAGAAATTATTAGATGTCCAACGATTATTTGCTATCGTAATACCCGGTATATATCACTGATTCAATATTTAAAATTATTTACACATTTAAAATTATTTACGTTGTTTTTCATATTTTATAAATAATTCGTGTAGTATTTTAACATAAAATAATTCTGCTTTGATTAAATATTTTGAGTCAGTCTATTGCTTTGAAAAACTAAAAAAAAATTATTTCTCATTTAAAGTATTCTAAAAGACAGTCTGGCCTATTTGATACGTCGTATACAAGTGCATTATCGCGTCGCGCAATGCTCCTTTATGATCTTCTCCTCCCCAGTAGTTACGGACTCGCTTGAACAGACAAAACACGCGAGTGCACATTTATGGACTCGATGCGCGGAGGCGAGCCTAACTTGACAAAGAGTGTCGGCGTCGGGAGTAAAATGCAGAGCGATATAATAGTGCGCCAGACAAATGTCGATGTGCGAGCAACAAGTGCCGTGAGGGCCGTCTACTTCTGACAATGAGCAGGAAATCTGGCCGGCACTCTATGGATACGTGAGCAAGTAGGGGTGTAGGGCGCGCGCCGGTCACAAAGAGGCGTTGCAGTCACAATTAGCGATCACGCAAATTCATTCAGTGACAGCTCTTTATGTGAAGTCACCGACACCGATATATCGCTCAGCGACGAAGTCGAGACGCGAGCGCGCTTTGTTGTAAGAAAATGTATCGGTACTTGGTAGAATGAATTGAATCAGTCTTTTTTAAAAGAGCTCTGTCTCTATATAAGTGCACTTTACGGAAGAGATGAAGAAGCAATGAAGTGAGAAAATAATATTGTTATAAAAAAGATAAAAAAAAACGTATTAGATACGTTTGAAAGACAATACACTATACGTCAATGGTGATTTTTTTTCACAGAATACACTTCTTTATCGGATCTGAAAAAGCGAGACCGGCAATTTTTTGAATTTGCTTTCTTGAATTTTAATTTTCGTAAAAAATGTAATCAAATTTTTTTCAGATATACAACTATCGTTTATTGCGTTAAAAGAATTTATTTGGAAAGGAAATATATACTGAGATATTTCAAAACTCTTTAAGAATGTCGTTCGTTTCGATTGACGCTAATCCGTGATCATAGCAATCGACTTTTATTTATAGATACGGAATGAATAATGAACGCAAACATGTGAAATAACGTGTGAATTGTTTAATATATGTGTGTAAAAATCAAGTATGCGTGGCTTGTCGTGCGCGAAGAGAGCCGTGTTATAAGCATAATAATCGGTAATTGATAATTGAGGAAATACGTGGCGGATAAGGTGAGGGAATAATGGCAAGGTGGCATTTCGCGGGGCACTAGGGTAGTAAATGATATATTAATCCTACAAATGTATACCCTTATCTGCCTCCTCGATCCCATTTTTACAGTTTACACGCGATACAGGCATTAAAAAAGAATTCGATATGTATCGCCATACCATTATTATGCCGCTCGATCTATCGCGTAGCTCGTAACTCGTTTTATATTCGTGACAGGTGTAATTTAGAAATCGAACGGGTATTTAGTGCGGACCTCGGGTGTAAGATATTGTGTGAAGATCATAAAAGAAAATGCTAAAGGGGCGAAGTTTTTTGCTCAAGTTCATATATTATTTATGTAAAGATAGAAAAGGACAAACGAGAGAGAAGGTTTATAAACAATACGGTTACAATTTTTACAAGACGATCGTAAACGCAGAATAAATTCCATTTTTTTAGTAGTAAATTAAATAGGTTACCATTGAACGATAATGATAAATTTAATAAAAGCTAATTATTAATTTGCTTCTGTCAGCAAATACATTATCGCATTTATAAAATGTATACTTATGTTATTATTTAAGTCTTACGTCGACGTATCACGATAAGTATATCGGTATACTATGGAAAGTAGTGTACCATAAGTTTAGTAAATTGTTACATAGGAGCAAGGGATAATTATTTAATCATTAACATACTTCTGCATATTAATTGATATTAATGTCATTATAAAATGTGTAATTATAGTATTATTCAAATCTGACGTCGACGTGCCATGACATATATATCAGTGTAATAACATAGATGAAGTAGTTGCACCTGTGTTCCATGAATATGCTGAAAATCTTAATGGCACGTACGAACAACGATTGCCAAGTCACATTGATTAGCGCTTACCATGAATAATTAAATTCTCCTCAAGGGAGCTATCTCGACTACGCAATCTGAATATGGATAAATTTCCTGGGATACTGAGCTATGATTATGAGAATATAATGTGTATGCGGTCAAATAATCTGTTTGATATAATAATATATTGATATAATAATAATGCGGACTTGCTGAAAATCTTAGAAATTTTTAATTATGAATTTTATAAATTCTTTAATTATTTAACAAGCTATTATTAATTATATTATTTTAGGCATGATAAAAATCTCATGGAAGATGCTCTCTGAAATTTTGTAGAATCTTATCGTCGACGAGAGATCATTCGGCATCGCTTTTTTACTACCACGTGATTAGGCGGACATCTAATAGGAGCAGTTATGATTTGTCGAGATTCTGGTGTCATTCCACTCCAGTCCGGCTCCAAGATTGGCTCTGTCGTTTCGGGTTCGATAGTTGAATGTGGGAACATGGAGTCGATTCTGATCTTCATAGTATCCTTGATTGTCTGCCCGATGTTATTCAATGCGTTTCCGATATCATTCAAAACAGAACGCCTCGTTCGAAGGCTGCTGCCTTGTGTGGCACATGTCAAGGAGACGAGCAGCAAAAGCACGCTCAGAAAATAAAATCTCATATCTGTAGCTCTTTTTTTTCCTGGAAAGTGCGGAGAACAGCCACCTTAAATAAGTAAACACAATCGATACATTATCGTGAGCAATTTTCAATAAAGCGTTACGTTAAACTTTATAAATTTTTTTACGTAAATACTTTGTTATTTATTTACGTCACTTAAGCTATTCAATTTCCAAAAGCTTTCATTTATCGCTTTCATTTAACGCTTTCTAATTTTATACAACAATTATCATCCCTATTTGTCCCTTTGTTTATTCTCAAGTTTCTGTAATCGAGAGGAATAGCGACACTTTGGGGTATTCTATATCCTTATATAACTTTCAACATCTTTGTATAACACCCTATCGAATAAGCTGAAACATAATGTTACATATTCATATACACACACATATACATATATACATATATATGTGTAACATGTAAGAATATTTTTGTATTTTATTTGATTTTTTGTACAAATGTAAGAATATTTTTATGTGATGACATTTTTAAGAATTACTCAGCAATAAAATTATCACGATGTAATGTGCTAAACATGATAAAAGTTTGCGAATTTATAAAACATTAACCAGACTACTGATATTTAGGGATGTCTGTAAGTGGAACAGGAAATGCACCCGCGCGCTTTTATCTGTTACGCGTTCGAAAGTAGTGCGCAATCGTGGATTGTAAGTTACGTGTTGCAAAAAACGATGAATGGGTTGTCAGAAATGAGTTGTTCGAATCACGCGGTGGAAGGTTCTTATCGCTCGGAATGAAGTAAAATATGAGCCTGTTCAGAAACATTTATGTGCACGTGCTCAATAATGCTTCCTCGCCCCTGTCTGCGTCTAGTCACGCGATTGCGCTCTTGTCTCGTCTCTCGGCGCGAATTCTGTATACGTAATATAATACACAATATGTATTCGGTATAGCAGAACGCGCATCGAATGCATCTTGTAACGTAAAATCAAATGTTATTATAGTATATCATCTAGTAAATGTACCGTCTGTTTTCTCACGACCAGATTTTGAACCGCTTCTATAAATATTTCAGACGTTCGTAAAGTCGTTATACAAAGAGTTGTATTGTTGCTTTTAAATATATCGTTTTCTTAATCAACTTATTATTTTTTTAGGGTATATATTAAAATAAAAAATTTCGGATATCTATTTATTTAATCTGATATCAATATTTTTCATCGTGCTAAAAAAGTACAGTAACATCCAATATCAAACGAAATAAATTGATAAATTCATCTATGAAGCATGCATGCATCAAATGTCATGTTAATAAAAAAATTAGTTATCAAGTTTTTTATTTATGTTGTAAAAAGGAATGTAATAAAAATTAACATTATCGAATATTATTGTAAGTTGAATTTTATATTTATTTATTTGATCTAAAGATTGTGTAAAATATAACTAGTATTTTCCGAGATATTTTATATTTATTCATCTGCTTCCTCCCCGGAATCCAATATCGAGAACCGATCTGACGTTATGAGTGCTATCATGAAAAATATCTCGCTTTGCTGAGCAGTTTACTTTTTTAATCATGGTGTTACGGTAATTACGGTGTAGCAAGATATCGATTAAATGTGTATACAGTGTTTCAAAAGAAATCAATATCAGTATATTCTTAAATAAATTTGCAATTGGTCAAGCTTTAGCGTACTCTTAATTAAAAAGATATTTATAAAAATATCTAGTACTGGGGAAAAATTGTAAGAATCAAGCTTTGAAACTAAGAAAAACAAAATTTAAGTTTAATTTACAAAAAATTTGAATTACAATTTTACTGAGTGAGAATTTATACATCCACACTTGATAATTAAAAAATTTATTAGATTGGCAATTTCTTTTTGCAAACAATAACAAGTAATCAAATTTAAAAAAAATGAATTGTCAACAAGAATATATTATTATTCATATTTCTTTAAAATAAAATTCTTTAAAATAAATAAGAGGTAGCTTTATAGTCAATTATACGAAAATGTTAGATAAATAAAAAAGAAAATTGAAAGGGAGGCGAGAAAAAGCGTATATGTCAAACGCGAGAAAGGAGTTCCTCACCACGTTTTTGCGCTCGGTATGCCAACTATGTCTTATATTTCAGTACTAACTGGCTGTAAAAATCCGCTGTCGTAACCGGTCACAATGTAATAAACTCACTTCTATAACGAACGTTATTCGCATGGGACGCAGCTGTGGCAGAGGCTTTCTCAGAGTGACAACGAGACATAAATGCGAGAGTTTTCTCGACCAAATTCCGCGCTTCTCTTATCGATAACGATATATTTTTTAACGGGCGGATCAAAGGGGCGTTTGTTTTATCTAAGTGAACGCAAATCTGTGACGCGATAGACGCTGTCACGCTTTTGCTCTTTCGCGTTCTCATATACTGACTTCTATTATTGCCCTCCTTCTCTCCTACCGACTGATAAATCCTGCTATGTTTCCTTTGATCGTGGCAAACATATACGTATATATGCAACATGATTTGAAGAATCGAGAGAAGCATCTAATAATAATAACTTTTGCATAAAAATAATATTACAACCCTATTTTTAATTTCAAATCATTGTCAAATTTTAAATTTTTTATTATTATTTGTTTAAAATTAAATATTAGATAGTTGCGAAAAATTGTGAATCAATTTAAAAAAATTGTTTATAAATTGATTGAAAGCGAATGATAGATAGAAAACATAAATTTCCTTCATATCAAATAAACTTTCGCATTTAAAAAGATTCGAATTATTTGATAAATAATAATTAAAAAGTTTGCATACAGATTATTCGTTAAAGTGAATTGCTTAACAGATATGCGCGATGTACGTTTTTATTATTGGATATGCCGTTTTGCCAGCCGTAATCTGCCGCGACTAGGGGTCTCATATGTATTACAAAATCCGCGCACACGTACAGTATTCACATATTGAAAAGCAACTGGATTCGTGTAACTAACCGTGTTAATAATCGTATGTGTGCAAGCTTGCAGGTATACATATGTATATCGAGTTCCCTATACAGGTATAAGCTTTAGAGAGATATCTCGTCAAAATCTATAAAAATATTTTTTGCAAAAAAAATGTTGTCTAAAATCTAAGAATTATTTATGATGAAATCGATGTCACTTGTACAAAGTAGTTCGTGTCGCGAATGACATGTGCACATCTATTAAAAAAGAGTAATCGAAGTGGCGTAGTTAATTACACGCCAAGTAACGAGCTTTAAATGCGAGTCAACGCGAAATGCAGGCGTTAACGGGAAAAGGCGCTGGCTAGTAAACGTTTACATCGATCGGCAAAGATTTAATACAACGGATATATTGATAAAATGTCACCCAGGGCTCAAATATCGTTCACGTTAAAGCGATAACAGCACATAAAATTTTTTATTGATCGAACGAAGAAGTGAATATTGCAGCGTGTCGCAAAGTTTCGTGCTGCGAAAGAAGATCTGGTAAATAATTCGAGTTGAGTCCTCCGTAAAAAGTTCTCTCAAAACGTTTTCGCAACATCTATTTGAGATGTAAAATATTTTCGCTGCAGCTTATTTTCTCTGTAGATAAACCATGCGGAATTAATAACGAGTTATTTAGCTCTGTTGTTGTTTTGCGATTATTAACATAAAATTAATTAATCCTGTTTCGCGTGATGTTGATCGCAATACAAAAATAATTATACGTATAAATTCTAGATATATCATATTGTAAATATATCATAGGATTTCCATAATTATAAAATTACAAACATAAAATCCTTATGCCTTTAATGTTTTTTCGATTCATTTGCCGCAAATTAAAATTTATAATTTCGCCATGGTAAATCTTGCTTGAAAACTGCGAGCATGCTAAGTAGAACCTGCTCTTTATGGTCGTCCAACCACAAGATAATTTCTTACGGCGCACTTGAGAGAGCGAAAAATTTAATTGCCCAAGTTTGCCGCTTGACAACTTTTGTATCTTGTACGTTTCAAGTATTGCATCAAAATGTTTCATCGTGCTTGAAACGGTTGCAGTTGCGAAAAGTTCCTCGCAACATTTTCTTCCATGGGCCAGTAGGGTACTTAAAATTCTCGCGTCATTATGGAAACTTTACTAATGTGTTTCTTATGTTTTATTTGTATTAATATCAAAAGCATTAATCTGTCTCATTTTTTTCATTTCTAAATCTGTAATATTTCTTACAGCGCGTATATTTTAAACAAGAGGGAATAAATCTGAACAAAGTCTTTTAACATAATCTTGATTTAAAATTTGCCTTTTTTACAACAGATAATTTTATCAATAATCTTATCCAGATCTACTCCTTAGAATAAACGATCTAATTTGTTTCTAAAAGTCTACGGTGATCGAGAGATTAGATTGCTATGATGGGCTTAATTACTTTAACCTTGATTTAATCGTTCTAGGTCCATCGTGTTTCATAATTATGTGCCTGGTAATAACCATAAATTATGGGACAACAAATCAGACTATTTAAGCATATAATTTACCAATATTTACACGTATCGATCCATGCGCCTAAGGCCATTTACATCGTTCTCATGCACGCCGAAGCAACTTCCGAAAACGGAAATTGCATCCACCGAATGACAACGTGGAAAGTTTAATTCCTCGCTTGGTGCTTACATTAAGTCCTTAAATAATTTACATCCACGCGCGCTCGTAAGTCGTTAGTGTAATTTATGCGCTTTTTACATTGTAAGGAAGCAAATATGTCATTCATGTTGGTCGTTTCTCAGAAATATAAAAACTACAGTGGAAATATAAATTTATTGGCAATAAATGTTAGAGAGAATAAATGTTAGGGAATAAATGTAGCTACTATTTTTACCTTTTCAACTTTAGTATTCTATTAATTTTTTGAATCATATTCTTTTACATAATTAAAATATAATTGCTAAATTTCTGGTATATTTTTGTGGAATTTTATTTGATATGGGTATAAAATGCAATTTTTTTACACATTAATTTAACATTGTAAAATTATAACGTCGTGCGAAAGAATTGTGTTGAGTTATACGGAAAAATGTATCAAATAGCAATTATCGGAGAAAGGTTTTATTTCCATTAACAAAGTTTTATTATCGTTGACAATCGCGTTTACAATAAGGATGTTTTTAATGCATTCGTGCATGACTCTTCATATTCCCTTCCACAACGGGAATATAGAAAGTGATTTATAAAAGGGAAGCATATAACTTGCATGATAAACTTGATTCTCTTCGGCAAAATCTGTGTGAAAAAATCGCGGGCAGTTAATCACACTCCAAAGTTAATTAGCACATGATTAATTAACCGTATGTCAAAGTATCAAATCGACCGATCTCTCGGGAGTTCGCTGACTCCAGTTCGAAACTTCCGGTTAATTAACCTTTCGCTGATGTAACAAGCAAATTACGGAAATTATCTTAACGCGCATGCTTATATGTAACTGTACAGCTGCATTGTCGATTTTCTGCACCTTAGATGCATTTAAGATTGACATATAAGTCATTAGCTCGTGTTTTAAATGAAAATTTAATTTTGTGTTTGTGAAGAATCTACACTTTTACTCGCATTTTCCTTCCTCATTTCTTCATCATTTGCTTTTAATTAAGATGAAGATGGTTCGACCGACCATAACGTGGAAATGCACGTGAGTTTTCCAGCACGTGGAAATTGCAAGTACGAGCTTATCGACAGCAGGAATTTGCGGACGAGAGAAATTCGCGTGCAATATAATTATTTATACAAGTTTATCTACTATCACAATACTCTCGACTGATAGTAATATTATTTATTTATAGGAAATATATATATATAAATGCCTTACCTTGTGCGATAATGGGAAAATAATTAATTATATTTTATTATTTATTATTTCGCATGAAATTTAAATAAATATTTTTGCACATGTAACATGCATATTTACACATATATCATCATCTTCTTTATAAATTTTATCAATAATATAGTTGTTCAGCTGCTGCTTGATCCATAGAGGTTTACTTAAACTGGAACGTGGTAGATGTCATCCTAAGTATTCAAAAATTTTTTTGACTATAATAAATAATGATGTTGACAAATTTATTAACGATTATTTATATATACAGTCAGAAAAATTTTATTAATAAGAAATTATATAAGATAGATAAGCAATCAAAGTAGTAATAAAGTAGCAGTTTTATAAAGCAATTATAATCCTTGATCTCTAAATCCATCTATACGAGAGAATGAGATTAATTTAACAGATTTAATTATCTTTTGCAATTTGTGCAAATTTGAAAAAGAATATATACATATGTGTGCATAATGTCGTAACATATAAATGTGCACATATGTACTATGAGCTATGGTTATAGACGGTATTATAAATTCGTTATCATTTATCTATCTATATTTATAATCTCGACTGCACAGTTATTGGGAGTTCAGGATATTAACTATTTTATTGCGATAATGACATCATTTTAAAGAGAGTTATTTTAGCAATTGCGTATTTATGTTTGAACGGGTAAAAACAAATTGTATTTCTGACTATATATTATTGGCTCTGCAAATGTCAATTAACTGCGTATTATTCATTTGTAAATATTATTACATTACTTTATTACTTTTTATTTTTATTTGAAGTTTAAAATTATAGGAAATATATCAGAGACAGGAAATTTGTTTATAAATAATATTTTATTCCATTCTAAAAAAGGATAGGAAAAGAGATAGAAAGAAATAAAAAAATCATAAGGCGAGACGATTTTTCAACGAACAGAGATAATTTTATAACAATATATGGCGCACTTCACTTGAAAATTTCAATTTTATTCCAGTCTGTCGGCAACGCGATCAATATAACGTTGCATGCGATTAGGAAATTCTCGTGAAATTAAATTTCCACGAGAGTGAACCTAGTTTATGTTCCGCTCTCTATAGGTATATACTATAATATACTACGGGATGAGAGACAATAATCTGCGCGCGTTCGAGGATCGGAGGATACATAACAAATTCCCGATCAGAACATTAGGTATCACAAGAAGGAGGAGAGTCTCTCTCTCTCTCTCTCTCTCTCTCTCTCTCTCTCTCTATCTCTCTATCTATCTATCTCTATCTCTGTAGTAGATGAGCAAACAATTGGTTGACATAAGCGAACAATGTATCGATAATCGTGGACTAAAAGCAGCGATGCAAATTGGGACTAAGGTAATGCCACGAACGATGCCATCGATGCCTGGTGGGACTTCCTTTTGCATGCTCGTGTGTGG